TAGTCATTAAATATATTGACCTTTTGCTTTTACTGTGCTACCAGTCATGAGGTGTTGTTGTTGTTGTTGTTGTTGTTGTTAAAAAGCTCATTGATACAAAACACGTGGCAGTATATAAGAAAACTTGAGTCTGGAGAGACTTAATTGCTTGCTCTTGTCATATACAATCCGGCCACTTACTAGCTGAGTGACCTTGGTCAAATTAACCTCTTTGTACCTCCTCAGTTATTATCTATAAAATGGTTATAATAATAAATACTGAGTTCATGTCTGTCACTAAATGGCTGGCTGTATGGTATTATGCCATGTATCTCCCTGCCTCAGTTTCTTCATGTATAACATAAGTGTCTACCTCATGAGATAACCCATGTAAGGATATTAGTGAACTGTGAAATGTTTGTTCTACTTGAGATGTCTCTAAGCATCAAGTTAGCAGAATTCTTGGCTTTTTTTTCTTAGATTCGTGGGATCCACTTATGATCTACTAAGTCAAAATTTGGGGGAGTAGGAATCAAATGATAGAATTGGTTCAAGGTTAGTAATGTAAGGATTCATTGTGGACATGTGTGTGGCTTGAGGAGTTGGCTTGAGAGAGTAAATTATATAGTTGATGTTGTTAGGGTTCTAGGCTAGAGGTTGGACAGAGAAGAGAAGCTTCCCAACAAAATAAGCCAGACGCATCTTTTGTTTGCTCCTCCCCTCCCAGTTGATTATGACAAATTTCAGAGATAAAATGTTGAAAGAACTGTGCAGTGGATACACATAGTAGCAGTTAGATTCCAACATTTTATGTTATATTTGCTTTATCAAAAAAAAAAATTCTACATGTCCATCCTTTTTTTTTTTTTTTTGGGGGTGCATTTTAAAGATAGTTGAAGACATTAATACACTTTGCTCCCAAATACTTCAGCATACATAGAATGAAGTAGAGTTACATATTTGTTTTTTTTTTTTTTTTTTGGTAATTTATGAGATCTGATGTTATTTTTTATAATACAGCAAAATTTACATATAGCGAAATGTTAACTTCTTTGGGGTGCCATTTAATGCATTTGACAAATGCTTATACCTATGTAATCCAACCCCCTATCGATAGATTGAATATCTTCTCTGTCTCCCTAGAAATTTTACTTGTCTTCCTTCTCAGTCAGGCGCCATCACCTCCCTCCCCAGAAGCAATCACTGTTCTCATTTTTCCACCATATTTTGGCTTTGCTTGTTCTGCAACTTCATATAGTTACTCACTACATTTTTTTGGCCCTGGCTGTTGTGAGTAAAGCTGCTATGAACATTCTTATTCAAGTCTTTTTGTAAATATATTTATTTCTCTGGGTTAAATACCTGGAAGAAGAGATGCCAGGTTATATGTTTAACTTTTTAAGGAGTGTCATACTGTTTTCCAAAGTGTTTGTGCTATTTTATATCCCTCCCAACAATGTGTGAGCATTTTATTTAGTTTATGTCCTTACCAATAGTTGATAGTCATCTTTTAAATTTTAGTCATTCTGGTTTGTTTGTGGTGGTATATCATTGTAATTTTCATTTGCATTTCCTTGATGACTAATAATATTCTGTTCTTTTTTATGTGCTTATTGGCCATTTGTGTACTTTTTTTGTGAGGCATCGGTTCAGTTCTTCTCCTCTCCCCTACCCCCCCCAAGATGGAGTCTTCCTTTTTCGCCTAGGCTGGAGTGCAGTGGTATGATCCCTGCAACTTTCGCCTCCCAAGTTCAAGTGATTCTCCTGTCTTAGTTTCCCAAGTAGCTGGGATTACAGGCACACACCGCCATGCCAGCTAATTTGTTGTATTTTAGTAGAGACAAGATTTCACTGTGATGCCAGGCTGGTCTCAAACTCTTGAGCTCAGGCAATCCACCTGCCTTGGCCTCCTAAAGTGCTAGGATTACAGGTGTGAGCCACCACGCTTGGCCCTCCTGTTCAGTTCTTTTGCCCTTGTAAGAATTGGGTTGTCTTCTTTTATTTCTTTTGAGACATTTTCTCTCTTTCTTGTTGCCCAGGCTGCAGTGCAGTGGTGCCGTCTTGGCTCATCACAACCTCCACCTCCCAGGTTCAAATGATTCTCCTGCCTCAGTCTCCTAAGTAGCTGGGATTACAGGTGTGCCCCAACATGCCCAGCTAATTTTTTGTGTGTATTTTTAGTAGAGACGGGCTTCACCATGTTGGCCAGGCTGGTTTCGATCTCCTGACCTCAGGTGATCTACCTGCCTTGACCTCCCAAAGTTCTGGAATTACAGGCATGAGCCACTGCGCCTGGCTGGTTGTCTTCTTACTGAGTTGTAGGAGGTCTTTATAAATTCTAGTCCTGGGTACTTTGTCAGATACATTTATTTTCCCCCCAGTCTGGCTTGCCTATTTATTTTCTTAATGATGCCTTTGATTGGCAGATGTTCTAAATTATATGAAGTCTGGATTTTTTTTTTCTAATATTTTTATTCTTCGTGTCCTAAGAAAATTGTGCCTATCCCCAGGCTGCAAAGATAGTTTCCTGTGCTTGCTTCTAGAAGCTTTGTAATTTTGCTTTTATAGTTTTTCTTTCTAATTTCTTTTGATTTTTATATTTGACCCATGGATTATTTAGAGATGTGTTGAATTTTCAAATATTTTGGGGGAGGATATTGATTTCTCAGTTAATTTCATTATAATTAGAAAAAGATTCAGATTATGACTTCAGTGTTTTGAAATATATTGAGACTTGTTTTGTAGTTCAGTATATGCTCTACTTAATTCTTGAAGAAAATATGTTCTGTAGTTGGGTATAGTGATCTATAGAAGTAAGTAAGGTGATTGATAGTATTAAATCTTTGTTCTTATTTATTTATTTATTTGTTTGTTTGTTTATTTATTTGAGATGAGATGTCATTCTGTCACCCAGGCTGGAGTGCAGTGGTATGGTTACCTGAGCCTCCCAAGTAGCTAGGACCACAGGCACGTGCCACCATACCTGTCCAATTTTTAATATTATTTGTAGAGACAAAGTCTCACCATGTTGCCCAAGCAGGTCTTGAATTCCTGCACTCAAGCGATCCCATCTCGGCCTCTTAAAGTGCTGAGATTACAGGCACGTGCTATGACACCCAACCTCAATTTTTGTTTCATGTATTCTGAGGCCCTCAAGACAGCATATACTTTACATTTGTTCTATGGCTCCATAGTGATTGGTCCTTTTTAAAAAACCTTTGGAAATATTTTTGGTCTTGAAATCTATTTTGGAATTAATATAGCCATTCTTCTTACTAGAATAAGGCTTCTTATGCTTAGTTTCAGGGTGTATCTTTTTCCATCCATATACTTTTAGCCTGTGCATATTTATATTTAAAGTAGATCTCAGGTAAACAGCATATAACTGAGTTTTGCCTTTGTATCCATTTTCTGTCTTTTAATTGGAACACTAAATCCATTTATAGTTAATATAATTTTTGATATGGTTGGAATGAAGCTGCCATTGATCCATTGTTTTCTGTTGTTCCTTTTGAAAGCTGCCATTTGAGGTTAAGGGAATATTATTTAATTATTTACAGTTTATTATTAGAATTTTGTTTTTGTTGGTTTTGATTTTGTTTTTTGAGATGGGTTCTTGCTGTCACCCAGGATGAAGTGCAGTGGCATTGTCATGGCTCACTACAGCCTGGAACTCCTGGGCTCAGGCCATTGTCCCACCTCAGCCTCCCAGGTACTGGGGCTACAGGCATGCCGCTGCACTGGCTAGTTTTTTGCTTGTTTTTAGTTTTTGTAGAGTCAGAATCTTGCTGTGTTGCCCAGACTAGTCTTGCACTCTTGGCCTCAAGCTGTCCTGCCTTGGCCTCCCAAAGTCTTCGGGTTACAAGTCATTTTATTTGTTGACATTTTAACTCTCCCTCTTTTGAATTATTTAGTGGCTTCTCTTGGGATTTCTATATCTGTCCATAACTTTTTACAGATTATGTTACTTTCATACCATTTTCTGTAAAAATAACAAGATTGCAGCTGTGTAGTTAGATTGACTACCTGTCTTCCTTGGCATTTATGCTTTACTTGTATTACTTCTGGATAGGCTGTAAATTCACTGTATACTTTTTGCTTTATATAGTTACATATATTTTAAAGAAATTAAGAGGAAAAAAAAGTTTTTGTTTGCTCACATACTCATTTCTTTCTGAAATTTTGAGTTTCCATTTGGTAGCATTTCTTTTCAGCCTAAAGAACTTGTTAAAGCAGGTTTTATGAAAATGGATTCTTAGTTTTATCTAAAAGTTCTTTAATTTTGCTTTGGGCTTTTGGATCAACTTTATTGAGGTGGATTTATTTACATAAACTGCATCCTTTAGAAGTTTTCAGATTTTATTAGCTGGCAATGAACTTCTCTGAACTCATTCTGTCTCCCCTGTGGTGGCAGCAGGTGAAGCTTTTTAATTTTATTTGGCCGCTTAGTGTCTGTTTCACAGCTGTGTAGTTTACAGGTCCACCAGAGATTTGTATATATATCTCTATGATAATGTTTAATGTATGATGAGGCACAGTCAGAAATTAACAACAACAATAATAAAGTAGAGCCATTGTAACATTATAATGTAATGAAAGTTATATGAATGTAGTCTCTTTTTCTCTCACAATATCTTATATTTAATATTTTTGGATTGTGGTTGTCCATGGGTCAGGGAAATGGTGGAAATTGAAACCATGGATAAGGTAGGACTACTATATATACCTTTATGTTTCATATTAATATGACAACTATAGTATAGAGTAAGAATTATTTTTTTCTCTGTCAATTTTACCAATTAGGAAGTTGGTACAGAAGGCAGTTAGGTTCCTAAAGTCACATGGCTGGTTGGTGGCACAGCTGGGATTAAAAATCTTGTTTAGTTTTTCTGATTGAAGAACCCACAATGTTAACACTACATGGTGTCAGCTTCTTCCTGTTTACCTTCATCCTGAAAATAAGTAGAGATAAAAGAATGATGTGGAAGATTAAATATATCATACAATATGTTATGTTTTAGGAAATGGAAGTTCCAGTATTACCGAAAATCTCTCTACCGATCACCAGTTCTTCACTGCCTACCTTTAATTTCAGTTCCCCTGGGATCACAGCTTCCTCTCCATCACCCATCAGTTTGTCTCAATCATTAACAAACAAGGTACAAAACCACTGTATAAATATAGGTGACATTCATTCTTAATTCTTTATTTTAAAAAATTCTCTACTATAAACGGTTAATTTTCATAATGGAAATTAATAACTTATAGTAAACAGAAATGGAAATGGTGTTTTGCTTTTTAAAAAAAATGTACAAATATCTTAGATACATTATAATGGAGTATTCCTCAACTTTTATACAATACCATAGAGATGGAGATTCTTATAATTTTGTTTCCAAATAATGTTTCCAGTAAGATACATTTTGGGTAGGAGTGTACTCATGTTTCATGTTTTTACTTCTCGGGTAGACTTAACATCTTTTAATCTACTGAATTTTTTTTCTTTTTTTCTTCTTTTTTTTGAGATGGTGTCTCACTGTGTTGCTGAGGCTAGAGAGCAGTGATGTAATCACAGCTCACTGCGACTTCCATCTCCTGGGCTCAAGTGATCTTCCCACCTCAGCCTCCTGAGTAGCTGGGACTGCAAGTGTGCACCACCATACCCAGCTAATTAAAAAAATATATTTTTATAGGTGAGGTCTTGCTGTGTTACCCAGGCTGGTCTTGAAATCTTGGGCTCAAGTAATTCCCCCGTCATGCCCAAAGTGCTGGGATTACAGGTGTGAGCCACTATGCCTGGCCTGCTCCTGAAATGTTAACGCTTGCTTTCACTTTTTCTGAACATATTCTTATAGATGTCACTTTACTTCTTTATCCAAATACCCACCTCTGAGATCGTGTGTGCTCCTAACAGGAAGCCAGATTTTATAGCACTTACGGTTCAGTGATTTTTAATTTAAAAGGAAAAAAATACTTAGTGTCTTCGGAATAATCAGTTTGCTTAACGTCTTTTATTGTAAGTTTATATTTCTAAGCAACTCTTTTTGGGAAACCAGGTACAGATGACCTCTCCGAGCAGCACTGGCAGTCCCATGTTTAGATTTTCATCTCCAATCGTAAAATCTACTGAGGCAGATGTACTACCTCCATCATCTGTAAGTAACAAGCAAGGAATAGTATATATTTATTGATTTCAAAGCCATGTTATACTTTTATCAAATCTAAGATGCCATTGGTTGTGAGAAACACTATTATGTTTCTTCCAACTTGAAAAATACTCCGTGGATAAAACTTTTGAACAATCATATTCTTCACTCCATATGTATACATGTATGCATATTCATTTTCTTCTGTACCATTTCAAAGTTAAAATGCAAACATCTTGATTTTCTTAATGATTCTCCATATATCCCATAAGAAAAAGGACATTCCTTTGCATCATCACAATACAGCTATCATACCCAAGAAATTTAACATGATATGATATCGACATGGTCTGTATTCAGATTTCCCCATTATCCTCAGACTGTCCTTTAATTGCTGTTTTATTTCCTAGAGCCCATTAAAGACTAGGACCTAATCAACTAAATTATGTTGCATTCAAACATGTCTCATGATTTACCTTTGATCTAGAAAAGTTCTGGGCATTTTTTTCCTTCATGATTGAGAAGTAAATGTTTTAGGTAAGAATAATACATAGCCTAATATTCAGATTGCCCCAGATTTGGGATGTTTATTATTTTAATATGTCACTTTCTGTTTTTACTGTGTTCTTGTTTTCTGACACAAGTAGATGTTACAGATCAAATGTAATGTCCTTGCCACGTGCTGAAATCCATCAGTTGTCCCAGAAGTCTCATACTTTTTATTAGAAAATGGCATTTGAGGCTGGGCACAGTGGCTTATACCTGTAATCCCAGCACTTTCGGAGGCCAAGGCGGGCGGATCACTTGAGGTCCTGATTTTGAGACCAACCTGACCAACATGAGGAAATTCTGTCTCTACTTAAAATATATATACATGTATAACAAAATTAGCCGGGCATGGTGGTGCACACCTCTAATCCCAGCTACTAAGCAGGCTGAGGCAGGAGAATTGCTTGAATCCAGGATGTGGAGGTTGCAGTGAGCTGAGATTGTGCCATTGCACTCCAGCCTGGGCAATAAAGTAAAACTCTGCCTCAAAAAAAGGAAGGAAAAGAAAACGGCATTCAGAAACCTGGAACTGGGCATGAGGAACACACCATTATTTTTTTAATATACTATTTTGATAGAAAAAATGCCTGAGAAATTTAAAATGCTGCCTGTTAAACTGTGACATTGCCATTCAGTGTAAGAATCTCACTTTTAGAGATTGTGAAATATGATAAATATGTCTTAAAATAGATGAAAGTATCTTTTTTGACTTGAGATAAAAATAAGCTCTGTATTTGATACTTACTGAAAACTAAGTGTAAGGATGTTCTTTCTCTTTACAGATTGGATTTACATTTAGTGTGCCTGTTGCAAAAACAGCAGAACTTCCTGGTTCTAGTAGTACCCTAGAACCAATGTTAAGTAGTTCAGGTAAGTAAAAATTTCTTACATTTTTACATAAAACAGTTGCATACAGTAGATTAGTATTCAAATTCTTTGACCTTTGGTAATTCTTATACATGCCTTCATTTGGATGAAATAAGCTCTGAAAAGCAAGCAGCCTTTCAACAGTGCTTTTTATTAATGATCTTTACAGATTCTTCGCTCCCTAAATGGAAGTGTCAGTTTGGTTTTGAGAGAGATAGGCACAGTAGCAAATGTATCCATTGTCTTTGTTTAGTCAAAACAAGATGACAAGTTAATTTTAAAGCAAGTCTCATTATAAGAAATTTGTGGATTGTCTACTTTTAATGTAGTAGATTTTATTTCTAGTTTTTACTGTTGAGTTCACAAACATTTTTATGTATAAAGGTTATGCAGGCCCATGCAGATTGTGATACATAATTTCTGAACTGAAGAAATCAACATCATTGAAGGAAGGAGGCCCTGGCTCATGCCTGTAAACCCGGCACTTTGGGAGGTCAACATGGGAGGATTGCTTGAGGCCAGGTGTTCAAGACCATCCTGGGCGGCATAGCAAGATTCATCCCTACCCAAAAAAAAAAAAAAAAAAGGAAAAAGAAATAACTAGGTAGTGGTGTGAACCTGGGAGGCTGAAGTGGGAGGATTGCTTGAGCCTAGGAAATTGAGGCTGCATTGAGCTGATTGCACTACCACACTACAGTTGGGTTACAGAGCAAAACCCTATCTCAAAAAAAAAGTTGGGGGGGGGGCGAGAAATGAATAATCAGAGAATTAAAACATAGAATTATTATTATTTTTATACATATATATTTTTGAGATAGAGTCTCACTCTGTCCACCTGGCTGGAGTGCTGTGGCGTAGTCTTGGCTCACTGTAACCTCTGCATCCCTAATTCAAGCAATTCTCCTGCCTCAGCCTCCCAAGTAACTGGGATTACAGGTGCCTGCCACCACACTGGCTAATTTTTTGTATTTTTAATAGAGATAGTGTTTTACCTTGTTGGCCAAGGCTGGTCACAAACTCCTGACCTCCGATGATTCACCCAACTAGGCCTCCCAAAGTGCTGGGATTACAGGTGTGAGCCACCGTGCCTGGGTGCATCTTGTTTCTTATCGTTTCTTTTGTTCCATCCCTCCTCTCCCCATCATACACAGAAATACACATTTCAGGTCACTTTGAAGCATTACCAAACATCTTAATTTCATCTGTATATAGAAATCTCCCCTTAAAAATATAACCGTAAAACCATTATCACACTGAAAATAAAGATCTTATTTTAAATATAAGGATGTAAGCTTGGAAAGCATAAAAAGTCAAAGCAGTAAGTCACTCATCTTACTTCAAACAGCCATTATTACTCTTTAGATGTAAACATTCTAAATCTAGACTTTCGAACCTGCTTTTACCCATTACTGTGCTTTTGAGAGTGATTTTTGTGGGCGAGGCATGGTGATTCATGCTAGTTAGTAATGCCAGTGCTTTGGGAGGCTGAGGTGGAAGGATCTCTTCAGGCCAGGAGATTGAGAACAGCCTGGCCAGCCATAGAGAGACCCCATGTCTACAAAAAAATAAAAAATGTTAGCTAGATGTGGTGGCATGCACATGTGTTCGTAGCTTAGTGGTGCTACTTGGGAGGCTAAGGTGGGAGGCTGCATTGAGCTTTAATTGCACCATTACACTCCAGCCTTGATGACAACAAGACACTCACTCTGTTTTGAAAAAAGGATGATTTTTGTGGCTGCATAAGTATTTCATCATGTCACTGTTATATAATTTATGTAACCAGACCTTTTTGAATATTTTACCATATGGGTTTTCAATGTTATAACTGAAGGATATTTTTGATTATATTAGTAGTGTGAATTTCTAAAAATGAAATAATTTCTCAGTTGAAAATTACTTTTTTTGATTAGTTTTGTAAATTGTTGTGTAATCAAATACACCCTCTCCAGTTTTTCAGTTTGATTTTTTTGATTATCAGTGAATTCATTGGATGACAGTTATAGTTTATATTTTTTGCCTTTTTATTTGGGGATGGGAGGTATACAGCATGGGTAATAGTGTTTTTATTTCCTTGTAATGGCAAATTAACCCCGTAAGGTCATTTGTTTATTGAATTGCAGTGACTTTTTAAATGAACTTTTACAAATTAATCTAAAAGGTGGCTTTGAAAGATTTTTAAAAATGCATTTAAGAGTTCAATGCTTTTATTTGAAATAATTTTTTTACAATTAAAAAATATTACAGCTGAAGATGTGACTGCAGTGAATAGTACAAGTTGTAAGAGGACATCACCTGAAGATTGTGAGGGTCCTTTTAGACCTGCAAAAATCCTGAAAGAAGGAAGTGTTCTAGATGTTCTAAAGAGCCCTGGTAAGATAATGGCTGCCTTTGAGAGTCAAGAATCTTAATTACAAACTCATGATCTCATTTTAATGTCGTTTGTATTATACTTTAGGCTTTTAAAAATCTATGACTAGTTTGGTAGGAGATTTACTTTTGAATAGAGATGTAATCAGCTGTAATCTTTTGCTGGACATATCTTAAAAGCCTTACTTCCTTGGAATTTAAGGACTCTACACTAAAATGAAATCTCTGAGAGGCAAATATAGGAGGAGAAAATGCATTCTCCATTAATAGAGACAGGCCAATGAGGAATAAGAGTAAGTAAACTTGATGATACACATAGACATGTTTTTCTCTTATGAGAGAATTGAGCTGCTGCCTTTTTTTTTTTTTTTTTGCCGGAATTTCGCTCCTGTGGCCCAGGCTAGAGTGCAGTGGTGCGATCTCTGCTGATGACAACCTCGGCCTCCTGGGTTTGAGCGATTATCCTGTCTCAGGCTCCTGAGTAGCTGGGATTACAGGCAAGCACCACCACACCCAGCTAATTTTTGTGTTTTTAGTAGAGACGGGATTTCTCCATATTGGTCAGGTTGGTCTCAAACTCCCAACCTCAGGTGAGCCATCCGCCTTGGCCTCCTAAAATGCTGGGATTACAGGCGTGAACCACTGGACGTGGCTGAACTGCCTTCTTGAATTATTCCCCAGTTTGGTAAATATGGAACAAGGCCAAATGGAAAACATTTGCTGAATTGTAACATATATACATAGGGAGCAGTACTCAATTGAATCGAAATAAGATTTGAAAACCAGTAGCTAATAATTTAAAAGGGGGTAAATAGTTCTCAGGTGAGAGTGAGTTTTTAGTTTGAAACCAGAGGATGGTTATAATTCCATTTGTGATGTGTAGTATAAGAGTGTAAAACTGGCCAGGTGGGGTGGCTCACACCTGTAATCCCAGCACTTTGGGAGGCTAAGGCAGGCCGATCACCTGAGGCCAGGAGTTTGAGACCAGCCTGGCCAACATGGCAAAACCCATCTCTATTAAAAATAGAAAAAATTAGCTGGGCATGCTGGCGTGCACCTATAGTCCCAGCTACTCAGGTTGCTGATACAGGAGAATTACTTGAACCCGGGAGGCGGAGGTTGCAGTGAGCCGAGATCGCACCACTGCACTCCAGCCTGGGAAATAGAGCAAGACTTTGTCAAAAAATGTAAAACTGTTTGTGAAATAGTATAATAGCTCAGAAAGAATTGAAACTTACCCAGCAGGTGTGTTTATGTGTAATAGGATAGGGTTTTTGTTTGTTTGTTTGTTTTTTCCCAAAAATAAGATTGGCTTTTACAATAGGATTTAGAAGGATTATATTTTTCTGGTCCAGCTCTCTCATTTTACAGATTAGTTTACTGCCTACAGGAATTCATTAGCTTACCAGTAGCTTAGACAGTTTCGTGCAGTTATGGCAAAACTCTAGAATGCTTGTAGTAGAATTAACCAAATAGTAGGCAAGAATCAAATGTGTATAGTCTGTCTTCTGTACCTGGGATGACACTTTTTGCATTCATGATGCCATCCTCCCCTGTTACCTTTTACTTCTTAAATAGAAAATGTATGGGGAGAGTCTTCATTTGAGTGAAATGAGGAAGATCTGAAAAAGTGGAAGAAACATCTTTAATGCTTTGAAATGGTTACTGTTAACATTGTGCCAATCTTAATGATTTAAACTAGTTATAAGCAATATAGTACATTGTTAAACTGGGAATAACTGACGTTTGTGGTATCGCTAGAAAGTCTGTAATAACCTTTCACATCTTCTTGTCTTTTCTTTTTCTTTGGCGGGTAAAGGCTGGAGAAACAGATCATAGATGGTGTATGTAAGACAAAAGTTAACTGGTCCCAAGTAAACAATTACAAAGTCATTCCCATAAGTAAAATATAGCTTGAGTGAATGAATTCAATGACAGCAGTTTTGGTAACACAAAGACTTGCTTAGCTGGTTTTACTGACCAACTTCACCATGTTGGCCAGGCTGGTCTTGAACTCCTGGCATCAAGCGATTGGTCTGCCTTGGCCTCCCGAAGTGCTGGGATTACAGGCTAGGGCCACTGTGCCTGGCCTAGAATCTTTATTATGAAATAACTTATGAAGGTAGCGGATACCACAGCAGTGGATTATGACTGGACAAAATTCAAAGATGATATTGAAGCTGTTTGACTTAGAGGAACACTTAAAAGAAGAAATGGATGAGGGAGGGAGAGGACTATGAGTATTCTGTGTGTGTACAAAGACAGAATGTAGCAAAGTGTGGATGGCAATAATACATATCAGTAAATTAGTACCGGTAGAAGCATCAAACTAGAAATTCCTTGAAGGAGAAGGTGACATCCTGTAAACAAAACATGTTTTGTAGAATTTTAACTGGTTTAAGTGTAACTTACTAGGTGATCGAAAAATAAGATTACTTAAGTGAAAAACAACTCTTAAGTAGTTCATCTTGGATTGTAGGTAAGTGTGCAATGAGGTGAATGTCTTCTCAGTAATAATAATCAAATTAATGCTTTGATTTGGAAAGCTTCTCTAACATTGTTTTTGCACTCTCTCCTTTGTTCATTGTAGGCTTTGCATCACCGAAGATAGATTCTCTTGCTGCTCAGCCTACCACAACAAGCCCAGTAGTTTATACAAGACCAGCAATAAGTAGCTTTTCTTCGAGTGGAACTGGCTTTGGGGAAAGTTTAAAAGCTGGGTCATCATGGCAGTGTGATACATGTCTACTCCAGAACAAAGTTACAGACAACAAATGCATAGCCTGTCAAGCAGCAAAATTGTCACCCAGAGATACTGCTAAACAGACTGGAATTGAAACACCAAATAAAAGTGGCAAAACAACTCTGTCTGCATCAGGAATAGGCTTTGGAGACAAGTTTAAACCAGTGATAGGCACTTGGGATTGTGATACCTGTTTAGTGCAAAATAAACCTGAAGTAGTAAAATGTGTAGCCTGTGAAACACCAAAACCTGGAACTGGTGTGAAGCGAGTCCTTACGTTGACAGTGGTTTCTGAAAGTGCTGAGACTATGACTGCTTCATCTTCTAGCTGCACTGTGACCACTGGTACCTTAGGATTTGGAGATAAATTCAAAAGGCCCGTTGGATCTTGGGAGTGTTCAGTATGCTGTGTTTCTAATAATGCAGAAGACAATAAGTGTGTGTCCTGTATGTCTGAGAAACCAGGTATGTTTTTGGCTTGATGGAGTAATTTTGCTTATTACTTTAGTAGAACATTTTAATTAATTCTAAGAACTGTTTTGATGTTTCAAGATGAGAATTTATCATACATATTAATTTTTCTAAACTATCTTGAGGTAAAAATGTCTTGTTTGGGGCTAGATCTTTATGTTTGCTTAGGTTAGCTTATGTGTTAACTGGTCTGCTATGTATGCCGACCTCCTCTTTCTCTGCCATTTTATCAGAAATTTCTTGTTCAAAGTTGACTAATATAGATGCTGAAAGATCTTAGAATGGGGTAATATTTCCCAAACCTTTGTACGGAGTAAAATACTACTTTGTCTGTTTTTCTCCAAATAGAAATCAGGATAGCTAGTGGTCACAGGGAATGTTTCTTTAGGGGATAGACCGTAGTCATTAATGAAAAGGCTGTGGCCGTTGCAGTGATAGTAAATTACCAAATCACTAATGAAAAATTCTAATCTAGGCAGCCAGAAACATGGAGTTCATTTTGAGTTCTCTCTGTTTCTCTGTTCAAAGTTGGAAGAATTACTGAAGATTCATATTGAATCTTTAATTCATCTCGAAGTGGCTCTGATGGTTTTATAATATTACATAATTTCACAGTACAGATACATGGTAACATGGGTATCCTGGGAATTACACTGTTTTCAATGCATTATTCATGCATGTGCAGTTTTATGTTTGTAACGTACAGCTCTGAGTTACTAACCTAGACACCTCGCCTGAGCCCTTTTTCGTGTTTGTAATTCCTACTGGATACTTGCTTATGAGTAAGATTTTAGAATCCTCATTTCTTTCTCTCTTTTTTGAGACTGAGTCTCACTCTGTCACCCAGGCTGGAGTGCAGTGATGCGATCTTGGCCCACTGCAACCTCTACCTCCCAGGTTCATGGAATTCTTATGCCTCTGCCTCCTGAGTAGCTGGAATTATAGGTGCTTGCCACCATGCCTGCCTAGTTTTTTGTATTTTTAGTAGAGATTGGGTTTCGCCATGTTGGCCAGGCTGGTCGTGAACTCCTGACATTAAGTGATTGGTCTGCCTTGGCCTTCCAAAGTGCAGGTATTACAGACTTGAGCCACCGTGCCCAGCCTAGAGTCTTTATTATGAAATATCTTTGTCTTCCCATCTGGTACCCTCTCCTATAGAAAGAAAGCCCTTGATATATGCAGGAAAGCAAAATTAATTTTAAGTTGATGGGGAGTAATAAAGCTTTGAGTTAGGAAGTAATTAATCTGTTACACATGAACAAAGGAAGCTCATATGCATTAAAGAACTTGGATTTCATCCTTTCATTGATGAAATACAATTTTCAGAAGAGTGATACAGTCAAGTTCGTATTTTTGATGAGTCACTCTGGCTTTTTAGAGAATGGATTTGAAAACAACAAAATTTGGAGACCAGAAGACAGATTAGGAAGTGGTATTAATCATATAGGCAATAGGCCGGGCATGGTGGCCCATACCTGTAATCCCAGCACTGTGGGAGGCCAGGGAGGCTATATTGCTTGAGCCCAGTTGAAGACCAACCTGAGCAGCATGGCGAAGCCCCATCTCTACATAAAACACAAAAATTAGCCTGGCTTGGTGATACCTGCTTGTAGTCCCAGCTGCTCAGCAGGGTAAGGTGGGAGAATCGCTTGAGCTGGGGAGGCAGAGGTTGCAGTTAGCCAAGATCATGCCACTGGACTCTAGCCTGGGTTACAGAGTGAGACCCTGTCTCAAATAATAATAATAAGCCAAGCTTGTCCAACATGTAGCCTATAGGCTGCATGTGGCTCAGGATGGCTGTAAATGCGGCTTAAGATAAATTTGTGAATTTTCTTAAAACATTATGAGATTATTTTGTGATTTATTTATTTATTTTTTTGAAGCTCACCAGCTGTTGTTAGTGTTAGTGTATTTTGTGTGTTATCCGAGACAATTCTTGTCTAGTGTGGCCTAGAGAAGCCAAAAGATTGGACGCCCCAATGGAACTGAATAAGTATTAGGGGACATACAATTAAAGATGTTGATTTTAAGCTGGCCGAAGTTGACATCCAGGCATGGTGGCTCACGCTTGTAATCCCAGCACTTTGGGAGGCTGAGGCAGGAGGATCACCTGTGGTAAGGAGTTCAAGACCAGCCTGGCCAACATGGTGAAACCCTGTCTCTACTAAAAATACAAAAATTAGCCGAGTATGGTGGTGGATGCCTGTAATCCCACATACTCAGGAGGCCGAAGCAGAAGAATAGCTTGAACCTGGGAGATGGAGGTTGCTGTGAGCTGAGATTGTGCCACTGTACTCCAGCCTAGGCAACAGAATGAGACTCTGTCTCAAGAAAAAAAAAAAAAAAAAATATATGTAAGGCCTTTGGAAACACTCTGGGTGGAGATACAGATTTGGAGTCGTTAGTCCCTAGTTTTTGCTATTTGAAGTCATGAGAGTAGAGGTGAGTGAGTCAAGTGAATAGAAAAGATGGCCTGCCGGGCGCAGTGGCTCACGCCTGTAATCCCAGCACTTTGGGAGGCCGAGGTGGGTGGATCACCTGAGGTCAGGAGTTTGAGACCAGCCTGGCCAACATGGTGAAACCCCGTCTCTATTTCATATTTTAAAAAAAAAGGAAGAAAAGATGGCCTAAAATGGAAGTCTGCTAATTTATAGGGAGTGGCAGGAATAAAGCGTTTGAACAGTTAATCTTTTAAAGGTGTAACCAGAGAGGAAAAACAAAAACTATATGACACTGGTTGCTTCAGAAGAGGATGGATTTCAAAGGAACAAGATCAGAGGTTTCCATAAAAAGCAAGAGATGAGGTAGTGGTGGGATAATGGCGGAGTGGGTTGTGAACCAGAATAGCAGTAGAAGAGTCAAAAATTGATTTAAATAGATTTGAGGAAAATGTAAAGGAGGAGGAGTATCTAGCCAAGCTAACCAAGTAGACAGTGGAGTCACCAACTAAAAGACTACAGTGACAAGCCCAGAAGTGTAGGTTGTGTAGATTAGGAAACTGTTTTGTTGGGATTTAAAACCACTGGAGCAAATGAGAGCTTGTGAGGACAGTGGGCCAAGATGGAACCCCCGGGAGCAGTTTGGTTGGCAAGATGAAGAGAATGCACCTATAAAAAGCAGAGATGATTTAGGTAACTATGGAAGAGGTGGTAACAGTTGTAGGCCATTTAGAGAAGTAGGAATACCAGAATGAATGCCCTCATTGTCAGCACTATTTTTTTGTGCCATACTGAGCCATTCTTCCTGTGCCACCTCTCCCACAAACATGCTATTTCTGCTTAAGATTTGTCACTTCTGTGTATCCTTTTCCTGCCTCTTAGTCATTTCTTCCTTCTTTGCACACTTGTTTTAGGTTGTCACTTGGTGATGGTGCTACTGTGCTTTTATTTTCCCCCTTTAAGACCATGAGCATCTTACAAGTTAAGCAACATTTTATTCATCTTTAATGTCCCTAGAACCCAAGTACTTAATAAATATCTGTTAAATGGCTAGGATGTAACAGAAATATCATGAATGTAGTAGGTGTCGAGTTCAATTGTGAAGTGGATGTGAAGTAGATGGACTTCTATGCAGTAACTATCATTCAGAGGCAGACATCTATGCTTTGAAATCTTCAAGTTAATATGGTTTGTGACTGTGTATTTTATATGTTAGCATATTGCCTGCAATTTACATCTTATGTCTTAGAATGCTTGCTGTTTGAAGAATTTTGAAAAAGACTCCTAAGAAAAATTTAGTTTTTGAGCCCCTAATTTAAGAGCATGATGATGATGTTTTTTTTAAACGACAGCAGTTATGTGGTTAAGAGTTACCTCACCAGTGAGCAAGGTTATTAATAGCTGCTGATTTATAAGGTTAAAAAGAAATCTGAGAAGTCTATTCTTTTTTTAACAGTGTAAATATAAATAATTGTTCATATTTCTGGCATATTCTATATTTTAACAGGAAATGTTATTAGAAATTGAACACTTAAACTTAGTGGTATCATTAAGATGCTGACATATTGTAAATTAAAATTTTCATGAATTCCCCACACACTCCCCCCTCCTTTTTTTTTTTTTTTTTTTTTTTTGAGGTTTTGGGTCAGTTAGGAAGAAATGAAAAATAAAGGTCTTTTTTTTTTTTTTTTTTTTTTTTAAAAGGAAATTCAGTACCTACTTCAAGTAGCAGCACTGTACCTGTGTCTCTGTCTTCTGGGGGCTCTCTAGGATTGGAAAAGTTCAAGAAACCCGAGGGAAGCTGGGACTGTGATGTGTGCCTAGTGCAAAATAAGGCAGACTCTACCAAATGTGTGGCTTGTGAAAGTGCAAAGCCAGGCACAAAATCTGAATTTAAAGGTAAGGGCAAAAAAATAAAAATAAAGATGATGGCAAAACACCTCTTTATAAAGCCATTTAAAAATGATGTATTTGAGAACAGCTTCAGTGTTCACTCATTATCCCTTGAAAATTAATGTAAAATGAGATTTTTATGAGATCTCTTAGTTATATCTGTCTTTGAATTATTGTAAAGGCTGATTAGTTGCTTGTCAGCAGTGAGGTATCTTTTCTCCAGCTGGGTAAAGAAATTTCGTGTGTTATTGAGTCTCAGAGTTTTTATTTGTTTTTAACTGCTAACCCCCTAGATGAACTTATTGACTTTTATTTGACTGGGAATACACCTCTAAATAATTAGTGATACAGGCTTGGGCTTGGGCTTCTCAAAGTATGTCCCAGAAAAAGAACTCTTAATATTTTACTGTGTAAATACAAAGGAAGACTCTCAAAGTAATTAATGCTAAACTATCTGGAGGCCGGATTTTTCAAATCTTCATATCCCTGCAGGAATTACTTTAATTATGTACACATTTCAGTCAAACTTTTGACAAAAGCTTGGTGAGATTGTAGATATGAAGAATCAGGGAGAGATGAGAAAGATTTTAATCTGTAAAAGAGTACGCCTGCAAGGTGAGAATGTGTGGGGATTAATGTCTTAAAACAACTCAGAAACAGACACATATTTCATCATCTCACTTACAGGTTATAGCTAAGTAATGTGTACTCATGGACAGAATGTGAACTCCTAAAAGGGTGAGAGGGTGGGATGGGTATGGATGATGAGAAATTAATTAATAGGTGCAATGTGTATTATTTGGGTGTTCGATATACTAAAAGCCCAAACTTCACTGCCAGGCAATATATCCATGTAACAAAACTGCATTGGTAATCCTTAAATTTATACAGATCAAACAAAAATAATGCCAAGTTTTATCTACTTTGTAATTAGCTTTCAAACTCGATTGCAAACCAAAAGTCAGGAGTAAACCTTTCATATTGTGAGCCATCACCTGCACAGTGTATATGTCTGTATGATTGAAATCAGTTTTGCAAAGTAATACTTGCCTCTGGTACGTGTAAGGTGCTCTGGTATTTTTTTGTTTTACTTCATTTTAAAAGAGAAATGCTGGTTACAGCCCGCTAAATTAATTGGTGACTAATGGTATACAACTAGCAGTTCTAGAAACACTGCATTTAAGTGTTTTAGAAGTTCACTGGGCTTTCTGGTTCATTTTATCTCATTCTGTAGCTGTTAATTCATGGTCCCTTTTTAATACTATTCTTTACCTGTAGTATGCTAATCATACTTTTAACTATCTTAGTACTTTTTAATGATCCTTGTTTTGAGCCAGTAGGTCAAGTACTTCATTTCTAATTTCCTCAGCTGCAGAAAAGCATTGTGAAACCAAGAATTTGATCTTGTCAGTATGATGCTGAACGAACTTACTTACTTATTTATTTAGAGATGGAGTCGTATTCACTGTCACCTGGGCCGCAATGCTGTGCAGTCTTGGCTCACTGCAACCTCTACCTCCCGGGCTCAAGCAATTCTTCTGCCTCAGCCTCCCAAGTAGCTGGGACTACAGTCACAAGCCACCACTCCAGGCTGATTTTTTTTGTATTTTTAGTGGAGATGGAGTTTTACCATATGTTGGCCAGGCTGGTCTTGAACTCCTGACCTCAAATGATCCCTGCCTTGGCCTCCCAAAGTACTGGGATTACAGGTGTGAGCCACCACGCCCAGCTTAATGGTTAACTTTATGAATATTGCTTCAACTATGTAATTCTACTGGTTTTTTGTTGCCTTTTTTTTTTTTAATGCTTGACTGAATAACATTTATTAACAAGATTTAAAAATCAAGAAATTGTGATACGGTTCCATCTCTTCTCTTCATTGGCTCATTTCACCCTTTCTCCCTCTTCCAAATGTAACTATGTTTAGTTTCTTATAAATCTTTCAAAGTTTCTTTATGCCCATCCTAGGCAAACATACTCCTATATATTCTTCCTTTTACCTTGTTAGAAAAGTCTGTACACCGAACTCCCTTTCTGCCGCTTTGATTATCAGGGATTATCTTGGACGTGTCTTTGTTCTTCCTTCTTCATTTATAGCTACCTGGATTGCATATGACATTTTGCATGTCTGTTAGCTTATCTTTAAAACAAACTCCTAGCTATAGAATTGTAAAGTCAAAGGGTATATGTGTGTGTAATTTTTGGTGACTGTTGACAAATTGCTCCCTATGAGTTTTGTGCTCATTTATACACCCACCTGCAATATGTAGTAGAGCTTGTTACTCCTAGTCTCAGTGCCAATACAAACTTTATCAAACCTTTGTCTCATCCAGTCTGATAAATGAAAAGTGGCATGTCAGGATAGTTGTGAGGATTGAGATATAATTCTTGTACCGAAAAAATAGTAGTCACCTGGGATTATGTTTACTACTTCTGGTAATACTCTTCCAAGTAGGCCTTTTTAAAGTTATTCCTATGTTTCTTTGGCTTTCAAGGTGTTAACATTTTGTTTGAGAGGACAAGTACATTAATTCAGTGTCTGTGTGGTGTCTTTTATATTTTTGCAGGCTTAGACACATCTTCCTCATCTTCGAACCCAGTGGCCTCCTCATCCTTCAAATTTGGTATCCCATCATCCTCTTCTGGGCCTTCTCAGACTTTAACAAGCACGGGAAATTTTAAATTTGGAGATCAGGGAGGATTCAAAATAGGTGTGTCATCTGATTCTGGGTCTGTAAACCCTGTGAGTGAAGGCTTTAAATTTTCTAAGCCAATAGGAGATTTTAAATTTGGAGTTTCATCTGAATCTAAGCCTGAAGAAGTTAAAAAAGACAATAAGAATGATAATTTTAAGTTTGGACTTTCTTCTGGTTTAAGCAACCCAGTTTCTTTAACTCCATTTCAATTTGGGGTATCTAATCTTGGACAGCAAGAAAAGAAAGAGGAACTGCCCAAATCTTCATCTGCAGGTTTTAGCTTTGGTACAGGTGTTATTAACCCCACCCCTGCTGCTGCTAACACCGTAGTGACCTCTGAGAACAAGAGCGGTTTCAACTTTGGAACCATAGAAACCAAGAGTGCTTCAGTGGCTCCTTTCACTTGTAAGACATCAGAAGCTAAAGAAGAAATGCCTGCCACCAAAGGAGGGTTCACTTTTGGCAATATGGAACCTGCCTCTCCACCATCTGCCACAGTGTTTGTTTTGGGAAGGACAGAAGAGAAACAGCAAGAGCCTGTCACTTCTACTTCCCTAGTTTTCGGGAAGAAAGCTGACAGTGAAGAGCCAAAGTGTCAACCAGTGTTTTCCTTTGGGAATTCAGAGCAAACCAAAGATGAGAATTCTTCAAAGTCCACGTTTAGTTTTAGTATGACAAAACCATCTGAGAAGGAATCTGAACAGCCAGCAAAAGCCACTTTTGCCTTTGGAGCTCAAACTAGTACTACAACTGGTAAGAATTAACTTTTTTACAAATTGTCTTGACAGATGCAGCAAGTCAAGTAATGGTTTACTCTGAACATAGTTGAGAAGTACAGAACTCTTTGGGAAGGAACCTAGGATTTTCGGTTTGAACTACTCTAAACTCTGATGCTTCTGATGAAGTCATCTGTGGATCTAATTTTGAGAAATACAGCAGCAATGCAAAGCTCAAAATAATGCATATTTATGTGTGTCTTCCTCTCTTCTATTTGGACTTTTATAATCAGAATTGCTGTCTACTACCTGGAAAACAAGGATTCTTAGCTTATTAAGTATTTTCTAACATAATCTATGTGAAGGCCTTTATTTACAAATAGTTACAAATAACCAGTCTTCATCAGACATTAAGAAACATAATAGACAACAAATGTAAAATCCTGAGGAGATTTTGAAAGCTAAAGTCCTGAGGGGAAAATGACATAGCACCCTTAAAGGTTAAAAGCATGGGTGTTGGTGGGTCATGTTAAAGTCATTTTGTGGACTGAATAGCAGGAAGAACATAGCTGATAATCAGATTAGTGAACTAGGATTTCCCCAAACTTAGTACACAAGTACAAAGAGTGATCCAAGTTAGACCCACAAGTTCCTTTGGAATAGAAGTGGCCTAGAAGATAAGAACAGTTTTGGGGGAGTATCAAAGAAGTGACAGAAGGAAATTTTCTAGATCTATAAAGAAAGACTTTGGTCTTAAAAATGGAAATTTCCTGTTCATTGGCAAATATCACTGAAGTTTTAGGACACCAAAGCTAAAATCCTGAATGCTTTCAGAGAGAAAAGCTATTTTCCACAAATAAACAGGTATCAGATTAGGATCATCTGATTTGCAATATCACATGCTAAAAACAACAGTCAAAGTGAAAATTGTCTTGAACCTAGAATTCTGTTTCTAGCCAAATTTGTTTAAACATAAAGGCAGTCCGGGTGCAGTAGCTCACACCTGTAATCCCAACTGTTCTGGAGGCTGAAGCACAAGAGTCTCTTGAACCTGGGAGGCAGAGGTTGCAGTGAGCTGAGATTGGCCACTGCACTCCAGCTTGGGCAACAGAACGAGACTCTGTCTCAAAAAAAAACCAGCAACAAACCCAACAACAATAACAACAGAAAACACAAACATAAAGGCAAAATTTAGGTGTTTTTAGACATGCAAAAGTTGACTATCCACGAACACCTTTGAATAACAAATTGGAAACATTCAAAATTAACCTTTAAAAAGTATGGGATTCAGCAAATAGCTGTGAGCAGTTTACTTAGAAATATAAAGACAAAATCCAAGCTAAAATTACATATTATTTGGAAAGCAACGGAAGTATGATAGGGTCTAATCAGATTTGATGATGAAAACACCAGGCTGCGGTAGACACTCTTAAACCGTTCATCTATTAGCCAGCTTGAAAGTCAGCCAACATGTTCCCTTTTCTGTAAGTTTCTAATGCCCATATCATACTGTGACCAGCCCTGGCTACTGTGCAATGTTGGAACTGAGATTATTGGAATAGTTTAGAAAAAAGCGTTCAGTAAGGTGGCTGGCTTCAGAATCACCATATAAAAATCAAAAGTTTTCTTCAAATCAGCATATCTCATTTTTTTCTAACATTTCTAATTTGTATTTTACAACAGCAGCAGAACTTGTAACATACTAAATAACTAAAAGAACACAAAAGGCATACTTGTTTGCTGGCTGAAGGTATTCCCTTTCTCCTCCCATAATTTTAGTTCTTAGGGAAATTTTTTAGAGCTGGACAAGCTAAGCTTATTCTAACATTCACATGGAAAGGAAATTATACAAGAAATTTGGGGAAGAAGGGCAGGCATATAGGCAGCTTTGTCCTGCTAATATCAGTTCATGGTATAAATTTATAATAATTAAAACAGTCCTAGTGATAACGGTAGAGGAAACAAGTATATGTATTTTAGAAAATTTATTGTGTCATATAGGCAGATTGCAAATTAGTACACAAAGGCTGTACTAGTTGATGCTGTGGAGAAATTTGGCTATCCATTTAGATAAATTGAAGTTATGATTTTGCCACATACGGTAACATAAATTGCAAAATAAAATATATAAAAGTATAGCTGTCTTCCACTAGCTAAACTTGCTATTCAAATAGAGTATCCAGTTAGATTTGGATTTGAGGGGTATTTTTATTAATCTGAATGCCAAAGGCCTTCTTATGAAAGACATAAAATCTGTAAGTTATAAAAGAAGATGAATATATGACTTTGTCAGAATGTAATATAAACAGATGTCTATTTGATGAATTAATCTATATGAAAAACTTAATCTATTTTCTAGCAAATTCTAGGGTTGGAAAATTCTAGCGATTATTGGGTAGGAGAAAGTACTTTTTCTGAAACTATTAAGGATTTTTGTTTCTTAATTTCTGTCTTACAGATCAAGGTGCATCAAAGCCAGTTTTTAATTTCTTGAACAACAATTCCTCTAATTCAAGTACACCAGCCACTTCTGCTGGTGGTGGCATATTTGGTAGTTCCACCTCTTCCTCCAATCCACCTGTAGCTACCTTTGTGTTTGGACAGTCCAGCAATACTGTGAGCAGCTCTGCCTTTGGTAACTCTGCTGAATCCAGCACCTCTCAGTCGTTGCTTTTTTCTCAAGATAGCAAATTAGCAACCACATCCAGCACAGGTACAGCTGTCACCCCCTTTGTCTTTGGTCCAGGAGCCAGCAGTAATAGTACTGCCACCTCTGGTTTCAGCTTTGGAGCCACAACCACATCTAGCTCTGCAGGTACATTTACAAAAGAAAAAACAATGCATTGTAATTGGATGGGCTTTATTTATTAGCATGTCAATTCTTAGCAAATAACATATAGCAGGTCATCACAAAATAGTGTGAATGCCTTTTGGTCACCTATACCAGGGTTGTTGTTGTTGTTGTAATTATTCACTATGTGGAATAATCTACACTTTGTTCAACTTTAACATATTTACCTCTTGGGAGCAATTTTTCTAATTGTGGTAAGAGTGTAATACTTAATTTTTCTAAACTTTGTCTTTAAAATGTTAGGTTGTCAGTAACCAGAAAGTAGAAGTTGTTTTATTAAACATGAGTCTTTGTTGTGCGCGCGCACGCGCGCACACACACACACACACACACACACACACACACACACACGAGAATTTCTGTGCACATTAAATTTCTGGTGGGAGATTATTCTGAGATATGTTTCTTTGCCAAAAACTATTGGCTGTGAAGATGTGGAGTAGTTGTTAATTGCAGTTTTTGTTTTTATGAATTCAATTGTTTCACTAAATAATGGTAGAGAGAGTTGTATTCTCATGATTTAAAAACTTGTCTTGATGGAATTTGGTTAGCAATGTAAGAGTGAAAAGAAACTTCACATTTGCTTGTGGGTTTACAGAAATTTCTTGAGGACGGACATTAGTCACCATGGTGACTTAGTGTTTCTTTGGGCCTCCAGGATCCTCCTTTGTATTTGGAACTGGACCCTCAGCACCTTCTGCCAGTCCAGCATTTGGTGCTAACCAGACCCCAACATTTGGACAAAGTCAAGGTGCCAGCCAGCCTAATCCCCCAGGCTTTGGATCTATATCATCTTCTACAGCATTATTTTCCACTGGTTCTCAGCCTGTACCGCCCACTTTTGGGACAGTGTCAAGCAGTAGCCAGCCTCCTGTGTTTGGACAACAACCTAGTCAGTCTGCATTTGGCTCTGGAACAACTCCTAATTCCAGTAAGTGTGCAGTGGTGCTGTTAGTATCTATATGGTCTTTGTGTGTCTTAAAATATTTTCCTTTAAACTTGGAAACCATTCATATGTTTGATTTTTAAATTATCTCTTGTACTTGGCAAAATAGGTAATATGGTTGGATTTATGTATAAACAACATTTGTCAGATTTCACAGAATTGGAACGTTTTAAGGTAGTGTATTTTAAAGTGTTATTTTTACTCTGACTTAGGTATGGGATTCCTTCAGTCTCATTTCTTCTCAACTCTGAATTTTGGGGCTCCCAAGGCTAGATTTGAAGTACATTTTCTGATCCTCCTCACGATTGGATTTGCTACAGGAAGTTACCCCCAGGTCTAGTACCCTCTCCTGGGGCAGTCCTGCTGAGTTGCCTCATGACGCTTTGTATTTGCTGATAACAGCCTTTCCATTTGACCTGCATACTTAAACAACAGGACCCATGACTTTTTAAATATGACTAATCAAACTGTATTATAATCCTGTATTTTCTTAAAATTGTTGATTTTTTTCTAATTGTGAAATATAACCTCATGTAGAAAGGGGTGTAAAATATAAATGAACAGTGTAATGTCGAAGCAAATGCTGTATAACAACCACCTGGGAGCCCCTCATGTATCTCTTTGATAACACTCCTCTTTTTCTCCACTCTAATGATGACCGCTGCCTTGTCTTTTACGGTAATTACTGTTCTTTGGGTTTTATTACTGTAGTTATTGGCTAATATATGCATCCCTAGAAAATGTAGTTTTAACTACTTTTATATAAATGGAATATTACTGTATGTAATCTTTTGATTCTTGATTCTTTTCCTCTAAGGTTTATAAGGTTCATCCATGTTTTGCATATAGTTTGTTATTGTCATTGCCATAGAGTAGATCATTGTATGAATATACTGCAGTTTATTTACTGTTGATGTATGTTTCAGTTGTTTAATAACTACCAGGTAATGCTACTCTGTACAGTCTTGTATATGTACCTTGGTGCTCATATGCATGTTTTTCTAGAGTATGTACACTGGGATGGGATTGCTAAATTAAAAAGTTTGTATATCTTATACTAGAAGATAATACAAACTTTTCCTGATGAATTGTACCAATTCATATCCTACCACCATTGTATGAGTTTTTATATGTGGATTCTATATGTTTTCTCATGTGTGTGAATTCTTTTAAAAGTTTTTTGGGGCCATTTTTCAGTTTGACTTTGTAAAAGTTATTTATGTATTCTGGATATTGGTACTTTGTCAGTTAATGTACATACCAAAATGTCTCCTGTTTTCTCATATATATTAACCATTTTGGTCAGGATTTTTTTCTCCAATATGAAATTGGAAAGTTTATATTTCTTTCACGCAGGTAACATTTTCCTCTTTTGGGGGGTGGGGGGGGTGATGGAGTCTCACTCTCTCTCTCAGGCTGGAGTGCAGTGGCGGGATCTTGGCTCACTGCAGTCTCCACCTCCCGGGTTCAAGCAATTCTCTTGCCTCAACCTCCTGAATAGCTGTGACTACAGGTGCATGTCACCATGCCCAGCTAATTTTTTTGTATTTTTAGTAGAGACAAGGTTTCACTGTGTTAGCCAGGATAGTCCCGATTTCCTGACTATCCGCCCGCCTTGGCCACCCAAAGTGTGGGATTACAGATGTGAGCCATTGCGCCCAGCCTTTCCTCTATCTTCTTAATATAGAGACACTGTATGGTTAGATCAGGATTCCGATTATGGAGATTTTGATTATTGCCGAGCCATATGGGAGACTATAACTTTCTATCCTATACAGAATTTTGTTCCTCTGACATTATTAACTTTCTCTGTTAACGTTTTTTTTTTTGTTTTTTTTTTTTCTTCATTTAAAGAGCAATCAATTTTATAAACTATATAAAAAGTCAACTTTAGGAGATCTTTCTTCCAGTTAAAGAATTGAGAAAAGGCCAAAATGGCCCTAAAAATTAGAGTCACATTGTTGTTGAAACTTGGGGAAAGACAGCATTTCAGGGTTGAGACGTTCTCAGTTCTATAACAAGATAGACCTGGATAGTAAAGATGTTATAAAATCATTTTTAAAAAAATTTTTGAGACAGTGTCTCACCTTGGCACACAGACTGGAGTACAGTGGTAGAATCTCGGCTCATGATAGCCTCAACCCGCTGGGCTCAAGCCATCTTCCTACCTGAGCCTGCCAAGAAGCTGTGACTACAGGCGTGCACCACCACGCCCATCTGTTGATTTTTTTGTTTTTTGTGGGGTCAGGGGCTGGTTTGTAGAGATGGGATTTTGCCATGTTATCCAGGCTGGTCTCAAACTCCTGAGCTCAAGCAGTCTACCCACCTTAGCCTCCTAAAGTGCTAGGATTACAGGTGTGAGCTACTGCACCCAGCCAAGATGTTAGAAAATTCTAGGCTCTGGATAGCAGCATAACTGTCAACAGCAACAACAACAACAAAAAGGCCATAGTACAAAGTCTAGTGAAGGTCAGTCCCACAGAAAACACAAAGCATTCATTTTGTCATACATAGAAATACAGTTTTAGTAATAATCCAAAAGCATTTTTTATAGAAATGAAAACCATGTTTTAAATTTTTTCATTTTTAAAAACTAATAGGTGTTATTTTGTTACATACATGGAATGTGTAATAATCAAATTAGGGCATTTAGGATATCCATCATCTTGAACGTTCATCATTTCTTTGTGTTGGAAACATTTCAGATCTTCTAGCTATTTTGAAATAAACAGTAAATTATTGTTAACTGTAGTCACTCTCCTGTCCTCTCAAATACTAGAATTTATATTCCTTCTATCTAGCTATATGTTTGTATTCACCACCTTCCATTCCTACCACCACCCCAACCAAGCCTCTGAACCATCATTCTATTCTCTATGAGATCAACTTTTTTTTAGCTCCTATATGAGTGAGAACATTGAATATTTGTCTTTGTGCCTGGCTTATTTCACTTAACACAGTGTCATCCTTCAGTGCCATCTGTGTTGTAGTAAATGATGGGATTTTAATTTCTTTTAATGGCCAAATAGTATTTTATTATATATTAAACCACATTTTCTATATGCATTCATCTGTTGATTAACACTTAGGTTGATTTCATATCTTGGCTGTTGTGAATAGTGCTTAAACATCAGCTACAGGTATCTCTTTGATACACTGATTTCCCTTTTTTTTGGATAAATTGCCAGTAGTGGGATTGCTGGATCATATGTGATTCTCTTTAGATAAATTTTGAGAAACTTCCTTACTGTTTTTCATAATGGTTATACTAATTTACATTCCTACCAATAGTATATGAGTTTCCATTTCCTTACTAGCATTTGTTAATTTTTGTCTTTTTGATAATAGCTGTTCTAACTGGTGAAATGATACCTCATTGTGGTTTTGATTTGCATTTCCCTTATGATTAGTGATGTTGAGCATTTTTTCATGTCTATTGGCCATTTATGTGTTGTGTTTTAAGAAATGTGTATTCAGATTAACAAATGTCAGAATAAAATTTTGAGGCCATACATGCCTGCTTTTCAGTGGGATTATTTGGGTTCTTTGTTTTTTGTTTTGCTGTTGAATTATTTGAGCTCCTTGTGTATGCTGGATGTTAGTCCCCTGTTGGATGAATAGTAAGCAAATATTTTTTTCCTTTCAACAGGTTTTTCACTCTGTTGATAGCTTCTTTTGCTGTGCAGAAGCTTTTCAGTTTACTGTAGTCCCTCTTGTCTATTTTTGTTTTTGTTGCCTGTGCTTTTTAGGTATTAGCCATAAAATTTTTGTCTGTGGGGGAGGGGTCCAGTCTTCTGGCTTCCATGGGCACTTCGGAAGAAGAATTGTCTTTGGCCACACATGAAATACACTAACAATAGTTGGGGAGCGAAAAAGGAAAATTGCAAAAATAAAAATTCATAATGTTTTGAGAAAGTCTATGAATTTCTGTTGGGTGGCATTGAAAGCCATCCTGGGCTACACATGGCCTCTGGGTTGGACAAGCTTGGCTTAGACCAGTGTCCTGGAGCATTTCTACTTATGTTTTCTTCTAGGAGTTTTGTAGTGTTGTGTCTTACATTTAAGTCTAATCCATTTAGAGTTGATTTTTGCATAGAGTGAGAAGCAGGGGTCTAGTTTCATTCTTCTACATATGGATCTCCAGTATTCCAAGCACCATGTACTGAAGAGAGTATTGTTTTCCCAATGTGTGTTCTTGTCATCTTTGTCAAAAATCAGTTGGCCATAAATACATGGATTTGTTTCTGAGTTCTCTATTGTTCTGCGTCGGTCTATGTTTTTGTACCAGTCCCATATAGCTATATAGGGTCACTGTAGCTTTGTGTAGTATATTTTGAAGGCAGATAATATGATGTTTCCAGCTTTTTTCTTTTTGCTCAGAATTGCTTTGGCTATTTGGACTCTTGTGGTTCCATATGAATTTTAGGATTTGTTTCTATTTCTATGAAGAATGTCATTGGTATTTTTGTTAGGGATTGCATTGAATTCATAGATTGCTTTAAGTAGTATGGCCATTTTAACAATAATAGTTCTTCTGATCCATGAATATGGGATGTCTTTATATTTGTTTGTGTTCTCTTTAATTTCTTTCATCAGTATTTTATAGTTTTAAAAACACAGAACACTTCACGAATTTGGGTGTCATCCTTGTAGAGGGGACCATCCTAATCTTTGTTCAAGTTTTGGGTTTGTGCTGCTGAAGCAAGCACCGAAAGAATTTTCTCACAGGGTCTTTTAACCTGTTCCTCCTACCAGGCTTTCTAGGCTTGCTGTTTAACTGTGCTCTTGGGAAACCTCTTTTTATCGCTCTTCTGAAGATTCCTTTTAGCTTCTTATAGAAACCCCTGTTTCCTGAGTGTCATGTCTTTCCTGTTACTCCCTTTTCTGATACAGCACATCTTCCAGTGATTCTTGAGGGTTCAGGGATGAAAATTTTGAGGCCATACATGTCTGCAAGGATCTATTTCCCTCTCCACGTTTGGTAAGATTTTGATTGAATATAGATGTAGATTGGAAATCATTTTTATAATTTTTAAGGCATTCTCTATTGTAGACTTTCTGGCTTCCAGAGTTGCATGAAGTCTTGATCTTTGCTCTTTGGCCTGTTTCTTCTTTCTGGAATCGTTAGACTCTTCCCTTTTGCCTCCAGTGTTCTGTTACAGCAGGACATGTCTTGATGTGGGTCTGTTTTTATCCTTCGTGTAAGGAGTGCAGCATGCTCTTTTGTGAACTTCCATTTTGGGGAATTTTCTTGAATTATGTATTTGAAGATTTTGCCCTTTATCATTCCTTTCTTTCTCACCTTTTATCTTTTTGTTGTACTTTCTGAGATTTATCTTTCATTACCTGTTCTGCTGAGATTTTAACTTCCACTATTGTGACTTTAATTTCCAAGTACTCATTTTTTCTGGATGTTTCTTTTTTATGCACTGGGTTTCCCCACCCAATCCCCCAGTGAATGAAGTATTCATTAAAGATACCGAGTTTGGATTTTTTTCCTTGACGTTTTGTTTCCTTGCTGAGTCGGTTTTCCCAAAATTGCTTTTATTATTTTTGTCTCAGTGTTTCTTATTAAATACTGTCCTCAAATGTCTGGTACTCCTTAGCTACCTAGTTAACTTTTTTATGACTGTAGGACACCTAAATACCACGTAAATCCTTTCTGTGTTGATAGGGCTTGCAGATCTCAAATTTCATTGTAGATTTATCTGGTTTCTCTATTTTACTTGAGAAAATTTGGATGTTAGTATCCTTTCTTTCCACTTAGTCTGTCAGATTCCTCAGAGAAGATGCATCCAGTCTCCTGCTTAGAGAGCGTCAGGGAACTTCCATTTGCCAGTGTTCTGGGAGCTAAGATTGGGAAGATGGCTGGAGCCCTCAGTATTTAATGAATATTGAACCTACTCTTAATTCCCATTTTCAAAATGATATTCTTGCTGTTAAATATATGTGGTGTTCCCCAGTCCAGACACTTCTACAAAGACTTCCGTTCTGGTGGGGTGGAAGAGGAGAATTACTGGCTGCTGCTTTTTTTTTTTTTTCCTTTTGAGATGGGGTCTCACTCTGTTGACCAGGCTGGAGGGCAGTGGCACAATCAGGGCTCACTGCATTCTCGACCCCCTGGGCTTGAGATCTTCCCACCTCAGCCTCCTGAGTGGTTGGGATTACAGATGTACACCATTATAGCCAGCTAATTAAAAAATTTTTTTTATAGAGATGAAGTCTCTCCATGTTGCCCAAGCTGTCCTGGGCTCAAACAGTTCACCTGCCTTGGCCTCCCAAAGTGCTATTACAGGCATGAGCCACTGCACCCCACTGAGAATTACCATCTTGGTGTTGGGAGGGATTGATCCTGGATATCTGCTATCCTTCCTTTTCTCTCTCTCTCTCTAATTCCTGCCTTAATTCTCACTTCCAGAGGTATTTGGAACCTAAACATCTTGGGTATGTTTGGTATAAATGCAATTGCTTCTGTTCTTTCCCTGCTGCTAATTCTGTATCAACTCTAGTCAGCCTTCCAGCTTCTAAACCTTTGTTGCTGTGGTCACCACTCTATCCTTGTAAAAATCCCTTGTTTTAATGCACTGTTCAAAGAAGATAGAGCTAAATGTGTTTATTGATTTCACTATCTTTAACCAGAAGTCCAGGCTGCCCTTTTCCCCTTGGTCATAGGTAAGTTGTGTGATTTGTTGGAAGTGTCAAGTATGTACTGTGTGTTAGTGGAGAAGATATTTTAGTTTTCTTTGGATTAAAAGACCAAAGTATCTTAACCGTTTGCATGTTTTTATATGTAGAGGTCAGAGTCATTAATTTCAAAACATCATTTTGCCCTAATGAAGTATTTCTGCTTCAACTGTTACAGGTTCGGTTTTCCAGTTCGGCAGCAGCACTACAAATTTCAACTTCACAAACAACAATCCATCAGGAGTGTTCACATTTGGTGCAAATTCTAGCACACCTGCAGCCTCAGCCCAGCCTTCAGGCTCGGGGGGCTTTCCGTTTAACCCGTCTCCAGCATTTACAGTGGGGTAAGATAATTTTTTATTGAAATGGAGAATTTACATTGGTAAGGGTATGTACATGTATATGTTTTGTTTTTAAAAGTTATCAAGATCCAGTATGGTTTGGGTAAAATTAAATATGTTCTCCACCATAAATTTACCATACTGCAATTCTGGAGGATTATAGTTTGAGAAAAAAGACAAAACAAAACAGTAATGTGTGTGTTAGGTATAGCAGAAAATGTATGTAACAGTTGCTGCTGCTCATGGTAAATGTTAGGATTTGGAAATTTTGCCCTGAGCATCATACCACATTATGAAACTTTTATTTTTTACAGGTCAAATGGGAAAAATATGTTCTCATCTTCTGGAACTTCAGTCCCTGGCCGCAAGATAAAGACTGCTGTTAGACGCAGAAAATAAAGGTCACATTGGTGTTATACGCAATTTTAACAACAGCTGGTGCCCTGCTTTCAGATACTGGATTATACTTTGTGCTGGGGTTATCTGAAGTCAGACCTAAGGACTTCTTTATTTTTGGATTTTTCTTCCTTTCCCTTTCTTTACAGAAGCCCCACCCTGCTTCACCCACCCTCTTTTAAAAAATAATAGCTAGACTGGTGACTGATTCTGCAGCAAAAATATTTTATGATCCAGCAGATTATTCACTGATTTGACATAGTCTGGCTGTTCCCGGGAATGGAGCCTGCACGGCAAATGGCTTTGTATAGAACCTCTTTGTCTACACCATTATGTGCGCTGATAAGCGTTTACAGAACGCGTTGAAATTGTAATTATATCTGAGGAATTCTGTATAGATTAGAATTCTGTATAGATTAGAGAATGTTGAAACGAATGATTTCTATGCTGAGTTTGTCCTGGTGTATGTGTGAAGTGAGTGAGTTGGGTGTATTGTGCACTAAACTTTTCTGATAGAGGAAGCCTGATTAAAGAATGGTCCGTGCTAAGGACTTGTTAGATCTAGTTCATTCTCCATTTAATAATTATATGCTATTTCTATATTTTCATTCTTTTATCACCTGTCTTGCCTTTTTCATTATTTTATTATGAAACTTGTGTAAATACAATTTTGTTTCTGTACTTTTTTGGCATAACATAAATCTGTGAACTTGAAATTTGAATTTTGTGTTAGAGATTTTTTTGTTGTTTGTTTAGTCTTGTCTCAGATTTTATTATGTAAATCCCATTATTCAAAGTTGCCTAAATCCATTTGGAAATCTTTAAAAAAAAATTGGGGATTCTTAAAGTTGAATTTATTGGCTTTTCTGATCCAGTTTTGTTTGGACCAAAAACCAGTATTGTACAAAGTATTAAGCATATATTTTTATATTTACTAAAATGGACTGTGGTGACTTTGGATAATAAGGAAAAGTTTAATATTAAAGCCATGTTTATTACAGTATAATTAACATATTAAACCATGGGATAAATGCCATCAATAAAAAATTATGACATACTTTTTGTTCTAGTTTTACCTCATAATGAAGGTACACAGTCTTATTGGGACAGGACTTTTTAAAGTAAAGGTTAACAGTGGCTCATTGGAAGATAAGTTCCAAAAAGTACATTGACATGATTCAGACAACTCCTAAGAGAAGGGGAAAGTAATTTGCCCAGCAGTTTACATACCTTTTAAAAAAAGTTGAAAGTAAACACACATCCATTTCTCTTTGTGTTTGTATCTTCCTTGGTAAGTTACTGGATAGTGTAAGTATTATTTTATTCTTTTTTTAACTGGATTGTTTTTCTGCGGTTCACAAAAGAATTCTTGGAACAGTATTTGGTAATTTTATTTTTCAGTTTGAATGTAGTTATTTTGTGCTCAGTTTTAATTTGCTGAACTTCTGGTTGGTTGACGTTTCTTTCTTTTCCCTGTCGCCCAGGCTGTGGTGCAGTGGTGTGTTCTTACCTCACTGCAGCCTCTGCCTCCCGGGTTCAAGCAATTCTCCTGCCTCACCCTCCCGAGTAGCTGGGACTATAGGTGTGCACCACCACACCTGGCTAATTTTTGTATTTTTAGTAAAGATGGGGTTTCACCATGTTGGCCAGGCTGGTCTCGACCTCCTGACCTCAGCTCATATACCCACCTTGGCCTCCCAAGTGCTGGGATTGCAGGGGTGAGGCACCTCGCCCGGCCTTCCTTTGGGTTGTATGCTACATACACAAGTGAAAATTAAAGCTATTTGTAGCCAGGGATTGGAGGGGGATAAATGTTGGAAAGAAAATAATAAAAGCCCATACTTCTCATGCTGGGCCAATGAGTAATGAAGATGGATGGTCTCCCTCTCCCACTCAGGGTAGAATGCAGTGGTGTGAACATAGCTCCCTGTAGCCTTCAACTCCTAGGCTCAAGCAGTCCTCCTGCCTCAGCCTCCAGAGTAGCTGGGGACTACAGATGTATACCACCGTGCTAACTTTTTTTTTATTTCATTGTTTGTAGAGAACAGGGTCTTGCTATGTTGCCCAGGCTGGCTCACTTGAACTCCTGGGCCCAAGTGATCTTCTTGCCTTCCAATGTGCTGGAATTACAGGTGTGAGCTACAAAGCCCGGCCAGGGATTATTTTTAATGAAAAAGAATCTCTGAAGGGAGGAAAGTCATGTTCAGAAAATTTAATCGAATAATTAGGTACGTATGTTTTTATAATTTGGTTGATTGACCAAAGGATCAGTGGCTCACACTGAATGTACCATTAGTAGTATTTGGTGGGATACGTCAGATACATATTCTAGGACCTCATCACCAGAGACTGACTGGGTCTGGATAGGGTCCAAAACTAAATAAGCACCTGGCAGACCTAAAAAACTGAGGTTTGGGGGGGGGTGTCACTTTAATTGCTAGTTTTGAGTAATTACAATTCTGGGCATTGAGATAAAGGTACAGTTCTGACCACTAAAAAATGTCTTTAAGCTGCTCATTAATACTTGTTACAAATTCTCCCCTGAAATTGGCTTGTTCATCTAATTTTATTATTTGAAATTAATTACTGAGCTAATTTTAGCATATAACCAGGCCATATGCTGGTTAAACATGGTAAGAACTTTTTACTTTAATTATATTAGCATGTTATTTTCTGTGCCTGTTTTAAACTTTGAGGTTCAATGGAAATTTTATAAAGGTTATTTTAGCTTGTGCATTTAATGGAAACTGACAAATCTGGTGTAGTAAAATTGAGAAAATAGGGGTAGCAGGTCTAGCTACACACATCAGCTGTATGACCACGTCAGCCAAAGCCTTCATTTCTGTGTTACATGGGACAACTTTTATAAACTTGTCTCAAAAATGCACTGTACTTCCAAAACATACATTTATGGCTAGGCTCATAACAGTAGCACGTTGTCTACAGGCTCAGACCATCTTTTAGCCGCACTCTGGTTTATCTTTTATTGTCTTTGCCCTTGTTGAGGAACCAGTTGTTTTGCATCTGGCCCCTTCTCTCTGGACCTGTTCATAAAATTTAAACAGGAAAGGCTTTTAAGGTCACAACTATATTTAAATTGCCCAGATGAGGTTTATGTGGTGGTTGTGATGGTTAACAACTCTTAAAGGACTGGATCAATTTAATATTAAGCTTAATTCACGTACAAGGAACTTCTGAGTGTACTTGCTAAAAGAACATATTCCTAAAGATGGATGATTCCTTTTTTATAGATCTGTATTTCTGAAAGTATTCTAGTTTACTGATATACCCACTGGAAAAACTGTATTTGGAAGCAAGGTCTCCCTAAGTAGGAGATTCTAGAGCAAACTATCTCAAGGAAATAGACAAAATATAGACGTGTTGATGACTAAGTATTTATTGAGACAAATAATACAAATTGGTGGCATACACATTATTAAAAATAGAATGCTGAATTTTATTTATAGGTGGGCGATCAGATACTGTTTACAGGTCAAGCCTTACTATAATGAACCATAAAGAAATATGTACACTGTTTGAAATGAGGAACTTTTTGTGATATCGTGAGTGGCCTGTTGTACTGGGGACAAGGAACGTCAGGTAATTGGCATGTTTCTTGTCAGGAATACTGTTTAGGCATATTCAAAAAAACAACTGCCTAATGGAAACGTTTAATACCCATATCCCCCTCAAAAAGCCCTTTATTCCCAAGTAGTGTAATTTTCAACTCCTTTCTACCCTTCCTTTGCTAGAAACTTAGGCGTAACACAGAAATACCCAAACAAGTCACTGAAGGGAACAAATCCTTTCTTTTTACTGTCCCTTGAAACTGAAAACACTGACTCATTTTGTAATGTGGGCGAAGTAGCTCTCAAATATAATGCATTTGTTTTTCTATCCTAAATACTTGGGTAAAATTGGAAGGTGAGTACTTAGGCAGAAATAAATACCGAGCTGGTGGGAGCAAAAGTTCAGTTGGGCAATCCTCTTTAGGATACAAGTTAAGGCTGTTATTAGTTCCAAAAGTGCTGCCTTTATTTCTGTAGTCACAGTCTAAAGGCAAGGCTAACCCAGCTCCTGGCTCCCACATGAACATTATTTATTCAGTATGTCAGATTTTTCTCAATGTGCATTAGCCCTTCAGCATATTTTTACTGGTGGGAAATCAACTGCCAGTTCTGATTCATCTTAGGGAACATGTTCACTTGAAACAGTATTCTCACTCAGCTTGAATCCTAAATTTTGTTCCCTTCTTATTAAAGTGATGAATATGTTGTAGAATGAAGATAACTGTTTTCTGCCTTTTTAGGCTAGAGCTTCAGCATGAGAATTATACTTTGACACAGAAAATCAGGTCTGTAAGTGAAATACAATTAAGTGTTCTTGAAAGGACACTCTACCTTACAACCCCTAGAGAAAAATATGTGGCACTAACGCCTGGCTCGCTCTTCCCTCATTGTTTTGTCATTCTTTCCCAAACTTTGGGAATGAAAATCTCTTTGTGCAAACGGTGAATTCATAAACTGAAACAGAATAGTCTCTCGGGTTCTATTACAGAGGCAAAGTAATAATACTTTTATGTATTTTATAGGGTTATATAGTACAGTAACTCGAATCCGTGGTTGGATCTGACTGAACCTACATAAACAGTAATCTGAATGACTCCTAGAAAATGGGCAATGTTCCAAGCATACAAAATTAAACTGGACTACCTTGCCTTTGTTTTATAGCATGAACAAAACTAACCTAGATGGCAAGGTATTATCTGAGCAGAAATTATGAATGAAAGACATATTCCAGAGTTCTATGACTGAGGGCCATTTCAACTTGAATGGCCCAGTGGCAAAAGTAGTGTGTAAACTAATGCTAGTGTATACACTACTAAAGTGCCAAGTTATAAGTTATGTAACATTTCCTAATCTAATTTTTAAAATAAAAGATTTTTCTTTTTTTACTGTGAAGGGCAGTCACACCAAATCTTCCCCATGGGTACAAGTGAATGATTTATTTAGTACATTGACATACTTAAATATTAGTGTTTCTGGGAAGCTGGATTTGATATAAACTTGTTTTGAAAAACATGGTTTATGAAATTTTATAATAAAAGTATTAATAAAGACATTAAATTTCTGTAATCAAATGTGTAATATCTGTTGTCACAGTTTTAAATGTCAAAGAAAAATCTTTGAAAATACAGTGGTAATAGACATGTACTGTGTTTGCTATTAAGACCAAGAACAAATGCCTAGATTCCTTAAATCAAATTTTGAACTGTGCAGTACAGTTTAGTGTGTCTCTGGAAGACAATGTCAGAGCTGGAGAAAAATACCTAAGAATCAAAACTTAAACCATAAATAGTACAGGTACATCGCAGCACAGCTAACTGGGACATCTAGCAAAAGCACACACATATAAAACCCTACAGTTTTGCTTCAACATAACAATAATGCAAAATGGCAGTATACACAGTATTACTCTGCGTAACATTTTCCCCCAAACTTTATCCCTAGCAGACAGAACCTAGAATAATGTCTGGGAACAACAGTCTCCCTTGCTTTAGAGAGAACAGTCCATAATGGGAAAATTGCTAATATTTCACAAGCTATTAATAGTATTTTAGAGTTAATGATGAACTATTAAATTTTCTTAACTTCTTGATGTTTTCAACAGTCATGGAACTATGTAAAATATAAGGAAACTAGTATGTGAATATGCTGTATATAAATAGAATTTACACTCATTGAGAACACTGAAAAGCACTAATACTTTCTTCATGCTGCACACATACTGGAAATACTTTTACAGTAAATATGCAATAGTTTGATGGAAGTAATTTCTCCCCACATATTTATAGTTTGATTCAGGGTACTGAAAACACTTGCACATAAATTATGAGTTAAATGTACAGTGAAAATTTACTCCTCCCACCATTAAACGTACTAACTTACCTTTAAAAAAATCAATGATAACATAGCAATATGACTTAATACTTTTTCATCATCATGAGAAACTTGTCCCCAAATACATGTTCAAGCATTAAGAATACTTGTAAAGTTTTACATGATCACCGAAGGGAACTGCTAGGCCTGCCTTTCTGGCAGCTAACTCACCATCTCCTGGGATGGGAGAGAGCGGATTGTCCAATTTGTGTTCTCATTCCCTCCCCTAAACACCAAAGACAATTTCCCCAGGAATTTGAAAACTAAAAGATGAGTTACATAGGTATTTACAAAACACAGCTGAACATTTTCCATTATTTTGGGGTAAATCAAAACAAATTTTAAAGTTTCATTTGGAGATTTCAAAGCTGGAAATGCTTTCAGCAAATCCTACTGCCTTAGATCTTAAGAAAGTGTATATTGTCCATTGTTGATAAAATCATTTGCCTTTTTGATCTAAAAATTTACTTGAATTTAATAGGTTTTTCTGCTGGAAAAGTTCTTTGGCATTCGAGTAAAATCAGTACTTTGAGAATAGTCACCTGCATCACACTGGAGTGACTGCTTTAATTTCTAAATCATGAATTAGTGTAACCCAGGGATACTGATGGCCTTGATACATAATTTAGTCTTGTCATTACAGTGTGTGGAAATCAGGGCTTTGGGGGACATCATCTGGCCCCATTTCTTCTTACCACAATGGTTCCTGCTACAATGTCATAGGCTGTTCGATTATGCTGGAAAAACAGCAGTGTGATGAAAGCAGGGAAAAAAGAAGCAATAGAAAAATTCTTGATCAAAGCCCGTATAGTGGACCTAAAAAGTCAAAACAAAAATATGACTTAGACATCAAACCACATACAGATTAATGGTATCCCATCAAGTTCAAAATAGATATTTAAAACACAGTTCTACTTCTCTACAAAAGTCCACAGGGAAAAAGACATTCAAAGTATAGTTGAGAGAATTTTTGCCTTTGATACATTTTCAAGTAGCACTGTGTCATGATCAAACCACCTGGGCTATTTCTAAAGACTTCAACAACATAAAAGACCTCAGAACTTGAACATAAAAAGCAGTAATAAACATGCCTTGGAATACAGAATAAGGGTTGACAATACTGTCTAGTATTTTCTTAGAAGAAATGAACATAAATTCTGAGTATGCTTACTGTAGTCCCATTTATTTACCTTATATAAAGAACCTGCATTTTAAAGTACTGTGTGTTCTTTCATCGGCATTTTCCTTTGTGGTATCCAATGATTAAGGAAAGCTTTTTAAAAGCTTTCAGCAATCACTCAGAATGGAGAATTCTCCTACTTGTTAGATTTCTTCCTTTTAGTGCACGGAAGGGCTGCAGAAAAGTACAGTGGCTGCGAGTGTGGGTTCTGAATCCAAACTAGTTAAATTAAGATCCATCTTCTACCAATTACTAACTAGCTGTATTTCACATCTGCAAAACGGGAACAATAGTATCTATCTTATAAGGTTATTAGCATTAAATCAGTTAATACACATGCAGTGTTACAGTGCAGGTATATAAAAAGTACTCATGTAACATTTGCCATTACTGACGCTTACTAAAAGAAGTAGGTAGGTTTACAACTATGGAATTTTAAGAAAAATTTGAAGATGGCAAAACCAAGGTTTCTAGAGTCACCTGTTCATATTTCTTTTTTTTTCCCCCCGCAAGATGGAGTTTTGCTCTGTCCCCCAGGCTGGAATGCAGTGGTGAGATCTCGGCTCACTGCAACCTCCACGTGCCAGGTTCAAGCAATTCTCCTGCCTCAGCCTCCCGAGTAGCTGGGACTACAGGCATGCACCACTACGTCCAGCTAATATTTACATTTTTAGTAGAGACAGAGTTTCACCATGTTTGCCAGGATGGTCTTGATCACTCAACCTCTTGATCCGCCTGCCTTGGCCTCCCAAAGTGCTGGGATTACAAGCATGAGCCACCATGCCTGGCCCATAGTCCTTGATGTAACAATCCAGCTCTGAATCATTCTGGCAAAAATTGCAGCCAATATCTTGTTTGGCTCAACTGACTACCGGCCACTCATCTCCACAACTTCCATTATCACTAGTTGTACCTTCCCCCAGAGCTACATGCCAACAGTTAACCTTGAGTATTGACAGTACTGCAAACTCTCAGCAGCAGAAGGATGCACGAATGTATAGCTGTCAAAACTCTTACTGCCTATTCAAGACGGAATAATGATAAGTACGGCCAAATTGAGACTCAAGAGAGATTAGAAAACTGACCTAATGTCCACAGATCTAGAGAATAATAAAAATGGTCATGGAGCAGTAAGATAGCATCAGCACCCAAATCATCCTCTCATATTGTGACTTGTAATTCATAAAATGATCTGGAAAATGTACACTGGAAGAGAGGTCTAAATCATATAACACAACTGAAATAAATACTCATAAACTTTGTTTTAAACTTGATAAATATAAGCCTATCTCTATGCCACAAAGAAGAAAACCCCAATATTCTAAAACATTATTTTCTTATGTAGTAGATTAAGCTAAGAAAAGGACTTACATTGTAATGCTAACATTTGAGGAAGGAATCACTAAAACCCGACTTGGTGCAATAAGCACTGATGTATCGCATGTCACAACTCGAAGCCCCAGCAGGAACTTCCCTGGGGTAGCTCCACCTGCTCCCCAAATGCAAATGATCTAAGGAAAGAAGGATAATTTGAAAATAACTTACTAGCTCATCTATACCAATTTTTAAGCTTTCCTATCATATTATTTCATGTTTTAAAAATTTCAATTTGAAAGAACTGCACAGAAACGTTAACCATTTAACTTAATGCATTTCTGTAGGTCTCTAGCATGTCCAATACTACAAGATGTCTGTCTCCTGTAATATTTCTCTAAGACTAATTTGCAGCAAAAGAATTACACTGCACGTTCCACAACCAATTTACAAGTACATTTTTGGACCACAACCTAAGTGAAATTTTGACTTTCTAAAACTAAAAAATATTACAAGGAAATTGTAAAATGTCTCTTCTTCCAAAAGTTTTTGCTTAATCATTAATTAAAATTTGGAAAAAAACAGAAAAGTAGACATGTGGAAAAGACATGAATAATTATAAATTTCTCTTACTTTTTTGTCTTGGGCTGATACTGTTGGCCGGGTGCAGTGGCTCACATCTGAAATGCCAGCACTTGGGGAAGCCAAGGTGGGTGGATCACCTGAGGCCGGGAGTTTGAGACCAGCCTGGCCAACATGGCGAAACCCTATCTCTACTAAAAATACAAAATTAGCTGGGTGTGGCTGTATGCACCTGTAGTCCCACCTAGTCGGGAGGCTGAGATAGGAGAATCACTTGAACCCGGGAGGTTAAGGTTGCAGTGAGCCGAGGTCACGCCACTGCACTTCAGTCCGGGCAATAAGAGTGAAATTCCATCTCAAAAAAAATAGTAAGATAAAAATAAAATATAAAACCATAAAATTAGATAAATGTTAATACTTGCTGAACTCAATAGCTTACCTCATAGAAACAAACCAATAATCTGTATATAAGAGCCACAACCATCATTTTCTGCAAGTCTTCCATTGATGTGTCTTCATCTATTTCTTCTATTATATAATGCATAGCAAACTTAGAGATATCCCTACACAAAATAATAGTAAAGAATTAGTTACCAGAATAGTTGCACTGATTTTTTTCATTAGTGTAAGTCATATATTTTAATTGAAATTCTAAACTAATCTTTAGATTCCCAACCATCTAGTCTCATAAAGCATTCATTAATTTATTCAACAAATAAGCAGCATTATTGTGGGCAGACACTGTACTCGCCCTGGGGAAATATGGGTGAATGAATTAACATAGTCTCTGCTTTCATGGAGGGTCTGATCTAGCAAAGCAGAACAATAAGTAAGTAGCAATAATAAAGTGGGATGAGTGCTGTAATGGGGAGCCTAGGACACTATGGAAATACATACCAGGTACACTTAACCTTGTGAAGCTTTCTAGACAGTTAGATGAGAATCTGAAGGATGAAGAAAAGTCAGCCAGACTAAGAAGGAATAATGTTTCAGAAAGGGAACAGCAGGAGAGCAAGTCTTGGAGCAAGAGTGTATGTGACAGAAGCTGTAAGTAGTTTGGTATGGCTCATATACTAAATGTGAGAGGTGTCAGTGATTAAGAAATAAAGGTATCTGTTAAACTGCATGAAGAAATTAAGACTTTATCCTGCTGGTAATGAGAAACCACTGAAGGGGCTGAGCATGATGGCTCATGCCTGTAATCCCAACACTTTGGGAGGCTAAGCTGGGAGGATCGCCTGAGCCCAGGATTTTGAGGCCAACCTGGGCAACACAGTGAGACCCCCATCTCTAAAAAAATAAAAATAATAAAAATTTTAAAAAGAGAAACCACTGAAGGGCTTTATGGTAGGAGAGGGGCAGAACCAGGATTTATGATCACTTTGGTTTTGTATCAGAGACTGGACTGAGATAAAACAGGAGACTGAGTTACCACTAGAAGACTTTTGCTAGAATCCAAGCAAGAGATGACAGTAATTGGAAAAGTGAGAAGCTATCATGATTTAAAAAAAAAAAAAAAATGGGCCAGGTGCAGTGGTTTATGCTTGTAATCTCAGCACTTTAGGAGGCTGAGGCAGGAGAATCATTTGAGCCCAGGAATTTGAGACCACCCTGGGCAACATAGGGAGACCCTGTCACTACAAAAAAAGTTTTTTTAATTAGCTAGGCATGGTGGCGCATGCCTGTGGTCCCAGCTCCTTGTGAGGCTGAGGTGGGAGTATTACTTGGACACAGGAGATCATGGCTGCAGTGAGCTGTGATTGCACTACTGCACCCCAGCCTGGGTGACAGAGAAAAACCCTGTCTCAAAAAAAAAAGAAAAATGGTCTGGTAGTGAGGAGGTCTGGGGTTGAAAGCAATTCAGAAAATTGAACATAAAGGAGTATTTCACTGAATGTACAGTATGGTGAGAGACAGAGGGACAGGGAGTAATCACAGTAACACTCAGGTTCTGGCAAGGACCCTAAATTTGACCGCATAGGTTTGTATCTTGACTCTATCACTTACTACCTTTGTAACATTTTAAGTTCTGGGCTCAACTTTTCATAAACCCAAATTTCAGACTCTATAAAATGGAGGTATTAATCTCAACATCTCATCTTGGTATGAAGATTAAAGAAGAATCCATATGAAAAAACGAGTAAGCTCAGTACACGGCATATAGAAAATACTCAGGAAGTGATAACTGCTATTAGGATTACTGTTAATCTGGAAGGATCACTCAAATAAATGTCTCACTTTGAAGTTCACTTGGGACTTGCCCCACAGTATAAGCAATCCCATTTGGAAACGCCATCTAGTTGATTATTTATTCACCTACCAAAAGCTCTTTATACCTTGTCTTTAGAGACTCCACAAGATAGCAAGAGGAAACACGACACGGACAGGTAAATTGGTTCCTGGCCTAAAAGAATTGTTGAGGCCAAGCACAGTGGCTCACACCTGTAATCCCAGCACTTTCAGAGACTAAGGCAGGCAAGATTGCCTCAGCTGAGGAGTTTGTGACAAGCCTGGGCAACACCGTGAAACCCAGTCTCAACTAAAATAAATACAAAAAATTAGCCAGGCGTGGCGGCGTGCACCTGAAGTTCCAGCTACTTGGGAGGCTCAGGCAAGAGAATTGCCTAAACCCGGGAGACAGATGTTGCAGTGAGCCAAGATCCCGCCACGGCACTCCAGCCTGGGCTACAGAGCAAGACTCCGTCTCAAAAAAAAAAAAAAAAAAAGGAATAGTTGAATAAAATCAAACCAGGTTTGGAGGCTCCTTTTACCTATTTTTGATAGGTGAGATTCCCACACATCTCATAGAATTCAGTAGAAATTTTTAGTTATTTCCTAAAACAACAAGAAAACCATAAATCTGACAAAGCTCTCATAAAGAAATCATGACACTGACAAGCTCATTATCCATATAGTCTCGTGTAGACAAACAGAATGTAACAAAACAATAGTTTTAAACAGTAGAAATAACCTTTCTGCAAATGTCCTCAACTTACTTTATCCCACTGAGGTGCATAATGCTTAAGACAATGGTTGCTTTTATAAAGAAGAGAATAAAGAAATCCACCATCTCTGCCATAAATCTGTGGGCCAAGGATGGAATAACATATTCTCTGCCTGTAAATTAAAAAAAAAAAAAAAAAAGTTAGGAAAAACCATTTCACATAAGCCTTGGAACACAGGCCATGTAATGAATTGGTAAAGAAAGTCAAGGTACAACTTAATAAAAAAATATAACCTTGCAACAACTATTGATATTCATTCCACCAAGAATCCATGTTATTAAAATAGAGGAACAGTACTCCAGTATTTACTGAACTTAAAATTTGTTTTCCTAACTTTAACGTTTAAAAATTGATTTCACATAGCTGGGTGCAGTGACTCACATCTGTAATACCAGTACTTCGGGAGGCCAAGACAGGCAGATTGCTTGAAGCCAGGAGTTCGAGACCGGTCTGGCCTTGGCCAACATAGCGAAACCCGGTCTCAACAAAAAATAAAAAAATTAGCCAGGCATGGTGGCACATGCCTACAGTCCCAGCTACTAGGGAAGCTGAGGTGGCATGATGGCTTGAACCTGGGAGGCAGAGGTTGCAGCGAGCCAGGATTGCGCCACTGCACTATCCAGCAGAGCCAAACCTCGTCCTCCACACTCCCCACCCCCCGCCCTGCCCCACCAAAAGTGATTTCACAGACAAATCTGATTAGAGTAACCAATAAATTTCAGTAAGAATTCTGAGAATCCAAGTGATCACAGATCTAAGTGACAGAAAATCGATTTTAGTACAAATCAAGGTTATACATTGGCAATTAGTATAAAGTAAATCCCTGTACCCCCTCCTTTAGTTTGTTTTGCTTTCTCTAAAATAAACCCAATATCAATCTGTCATCCTAAATTCTGCTGGGATCAGAGGCATCAAGTAGTTCTTGTCCCTTCTATCTGTGGCTAAATAAACGAAAAGTCTAATAGCTTAAGTAGTAAACTAATTCAAAATACTCTAGTTCACACACAGAAGCAAAAACAATTACACAATATACAAGATCAATAAGCCGGGCTTCTCGATCAAATGAAGTGAAGCTTTGACCCAATCAAAAGCTTCCTAACTCCACACGCATCCATGTCAATCTCCTTTTATGTCCGTTCAGTTCCACTGTCCTAAGTAGTCAATATCTGAATAATTTCCAGCATTAACAGTTGAGCCCCTCCAAAAGTGAGTTTGCCATCTGCGAGTGTAGCTTTGGACCTCACTCTGCAGAGCGTGAAAACCAAAGGAAGAGGATGGTTTGAAGAGCAGTTTCTTTTCACGTAGAAACAACGAGTCCCCATGAGGAAGGGAATCAACTCGGAGTGCCAAGTCTAAAGGAAGAAGAAACTGTATTGCCTCCTTGTACATTTTGGGGATTTAGGGCCTGGACAAACGACAGCTAGTGCACGGGCAGGATCGCTAATCGGAGTAGCAGCAGCAGTGACAGGTCCAAAAAGCGTGCCAGCTCTACCCACAGCCCCCTGAAGACCCTTCTACTCCGCCCAGCCTCCAGCCCGCGCGTCTCACCTGCCTGCTGCCTGGTCTCGCTGGGGCTTCGCGAAGGCGCTGCGGATCCTACCCTCGTCACTGGAGTGGCCCGGACGGACGACTGCACTTGAGGAGCCCGGGCTCCCAGGTTCGCGACTGGAGCAGGGGTGCTGAGGCCGGCAGCTGTCCCCGGGTCGGGCCCCGCAGCCCCGGGGCTCAGGAAGTAGAAGGGGCTGTAATAGCCCAGCTGCGGGGCCGGCGGCAGCGCCGCGGCCTGGGGGGCTGCAGCGCCGCCCGAGGGGAAGCTCTGCGGGGACGGCTGGGGGCTGCAGTAGGCGGGGAGGGCGGCCAGGCCGCTGTGCCAGGTGAGGTAGCCGCAGTAGGACTGCCACAGCCACTCGTGCACTTGCCGGGAGTACTCACGGGCGCTCAGCCGCGCCGGTCTCTCCAGCGGCGCCGCGGTCTCGGGCGCCTCGCAGCCCGCCTGCTCTGGCGGCCCTGCACCGGAGCCGGAGGCCGCCTCCCCGCACTTCCCAAGCTCGCGCGGCGGCTCCGATTCGTAAGCGGCGGCAGCTGCGAGGCCCGGAGCTCTGGGCCGGCCCGGGGCCTGGGGTTCGGCCTGGGGGTCGTCGCGGGGACATGGGACGGCGGCGGTAGGAGGCCCTCTCAGGGAAGGGACCGGCTCGTGGTCCCCCCCGCCTTCGTCCTGCCCAGGAGCGGGGCCTCGGGCTTCCTCGGGCCCCTCTGCCATCGTCGCCTCAGCAGCACCCTCAGCGGTACCTGTCACTGCTCCGTCTCTCTCCCCCAATTACCCCTCCCCAACAGTTCCGTCGCCACCGCCGCAGCCGCAGCCGTAGGCGTAGGCGTCAACAATCCCCGGCCGGAAGCGGAAGCCCCGCCCCTCAGGAGCGTCGCCCGCCGCAGGGCGGAGCTGGGAAAAGAGGGCGGGGAAGTGCGGCTGCAGTCCCGGGTTCGGTCCCTGGTGGTCGCTGGCTGGTCGGCTGGGACCAGACTGTCGTGGCCCCCCGCACCCCTGTTGCGGCTTTAAGTCTGTGGCCCGAGGACTCTCTGTATATTCCCGTGGGGTTGGACCTAGGTTGTCCTGGGAGAAACAGCAGATGGATGAGGAGCATTTCCGAGACAGGTCTCAGGCCCAGGGCAGCGTTTTCTGTTGTAGAACTGCGACTGTTGTTTTGGGCTCCAGTCTAGCGGTTGGTTGCTTGTGTTCACTCCGGTTAACCATTAGTACTCGAGAAGGTGGCACAGAACGCATCTATCCCCTTAGAGGATAAGAAATTAAACTAAACCGGGACATATATTAATATATATATATATTAAACGTATGTATATTTTAATATATATATATATAATATATATTTTTACATTTTTTATTTTTGTTTTTTGAGATGGAGTCTCGCTCTGTCACCCAGGCTAGAGTGCAGTTGCTCCATCTCGGCTCACTGCCAACCTCTGCCTCTTGGGTTCAAATTATTCTCCTGTCTGTCTCAGCCTTCCAAGTGGCTAAGATTACAGGTGTGTGCCACCACACCTGGATAATTTTTGTATTTTTAGTAGAGACGGGGTTTCACCATGTTGGTCAGGCTGGTCTCGAACTCCTGACCTCGTGATCCACTGACCTGGGCCTCCGAAAGTGCTGGAATTAGAGGCGTGAGCCACTGCACCTGGCCAGGAAAGTATATTGAAATGTAAGTAGTGAGGTGCTATATATAATTCAGAGGAAGGCGCAATTATGCATGGACTAGAGTACTAACAAAAGGCTCCAAAGCCTGGCATATGCTCAGGGCCTTTCCATAACAGAAAATGAAAAGGCACCTAAATATTTGAGGAAAGGCACAGTTCGGCTGGAGTAGAAAGCTTGTGTCTGCCACAGTGGAAAGTAAGTTTTCATAAATGCAGACTAGCTCCAGGGTGAGGACAGAATCCAGCTTTTAAATCAATATAATCTCTCTTCTTTTGCATTTGAAAATCTCTGCAGTCATATGTCCGTATTATCCCCAGCACCATACAAAGGACATAGAAGGGCCAAATACTGTGGGAATGTTTATTGATGATATTAATGATGATGCTTCCTCTTCACCCTCTGTGGGTTCACTGAAAATCACTGACAGGAGGCAGTTAATAGGAGAAATGGCATAGACATTGATTTGATCATCGTTTTATGTGACACAGGAGCCTTCAGAATGAAGACCCAAAGATAACAAGGGAAAATGTGGATTTTTATGCTTAGATTCAACAAAGCGTGGACAGCCAGATAGAAAAATGATTGGACAGTGCTCGCTTCGGCAGCACATATACTAAAATTGGAACGATACAGAGAAGATTAGCATGGCCCCTGCACAAGGATGATATGCAAATTCGTGAAGCATTCCATATTTTAAAAAAAAAAGAAAAATGATTGGACAAAAAGGGTACACTCTAATGCGAATACGCAGGAAACCCAGCAAGGCACCTGTCTAGATTATTCTGGGGCCTCTGCACAGCATTCCTTCCTCTGGGTATGAGGACATTTTAATGTTTAAACAAGCATTCCAAGTTGGGGTGACGGACGCAAGAGAAACAAGAACAAAGAAATGTGGCTTGGAATTAGTGAAATATGATTATTGGAGACATGGACTTTGTTTTGAATACCACTGTTTATCTAACACCGGGCACAGTATCACCGTAAAGATATAAAATGATATGACACATGAAACAGCAAAATAAGCCAGAATAAGAAAAACTCAGGAATGAAGTAACAGAATTTGGGAAAGTGTTAGAAATAAAAGAAAAACTTATTTCAGTAAAGTGGACTGAAATACAAGGAATAAAAGAATGAGAAAATAAAATAGTGTCTGAAGAGAACTACAATTTGAAAATAATTTTTTTTTATCAAAAAGAAATTTAAACATAGAAATAACTTCAGATAAATGGTAAATATTGAAAATAGGCAAAGAAGATCCAACATATAGGAGTCCTTGATAAAGAAAACTGAAGAAAGGTAACAGAACTAATTATAACACATTATAATTCAAAAAAAATTTTCTGAAATATATGTATCTCCCAACATTACACACACACACAAACACATGCAGAGTCATGAATCACTTAACAACAGGTATGTGTTCTGAGAAATGCATCATTAGGCCACTTTGTCCTTATGGGAACACTTGCGTGTACTGACATACACCTATATGGTACAGCCTACTATACACCTAGGCTATATGGTGTAGCCTATTGCTCCCAGACTACAAACCTGTACAGCATATTAATGTACTGACTACTGCAGACAATTATAACACAATGGTATCTGTACATATAAATATATCGAAACATAGAAAATACAGTATGAAGGATTAAAAATAATACACCTTTCTAGGGCACTTACCATAAATGGAGCTTGCAGGACAGGAAGTTGCTATGGGTGAGTCATTGAGTGGGTGGTGAATGAATGTGAAGGCCTAGGACATCACTGCACACTACTGGAGATTTGATAAAAAACTGTACACTAGCCCACATAGCCAAGTCAATTCTAAGCAAAAAGAACAAAGCTGGAGGGATCACACTACCTGACTTCAAACTATACTACAAGGCTACAGTAATCAAAACAGCATGGTACTGGTACCAAAACAGAGATATAGACCAATGGAACAGAACAGAGGCCTCAGAGGCAACACCACACATCTACAACCATCTGATCTTTGACAAACCTGACAAAAACAAGCAATGGGGAAAGAATTCCCTGTTTAATAAATGGTGTTGGGAAAACTGGCTAGCCATGTGCAGAAAGCAGAAACTAGAACCCTTCCTGACATCTTACACTAAAATTAACTCCAGATGGATTAAAGACTTAAACATAAGACCTAACACCATAAAAACCTAGAAGAAAATGTAGGCAAAACCATTCAGGACACAGGCATAGGCAAGGACTTCATGACTAAAACACCAAAAGCATTGGCAACAAAGACAAAATAGACAAATGGGACCTAATCAAACTCCACAGCTTCTGCACAGCAAAAGAAACAGTCGTTAGAGTGAATCGGCAACCAGTAGAATGGGAAAAAAATTTTTGCAATCTACCCATCTGACAAAGGGCTAATATCCAGAATCTGCAAAGAAGTAAAACAGATTTACAAGAAAAAAAGAAGCCCATTCAAAAGTAGTCAAAGGATATGAACAGACACTTTACAAAAGAAGACATATATGAGGCCAACAAACATCTGAAAAAATGCTCATCATCACTGGTCATTAGAGAAATGCAAATCAAAACTACGTTGAGATACCATCTCACACCAGTTAGAATGGCAATCATTAAAAAATCTGGAGACACCAGATGCTGGAGAGGATGTGGAGAAATAGGAACACTCTTACACTGTTGGTGGGAGTGTAAATTAGTTCAATCATTGTAGAAGACAGTGTGGCGATTTCTCAAGGACCTAGAAATAGAAATTCCATTTGACCCAGCAATCCCATTACTGGGTATATATCCAAAGGATTACAAATCGTTCTATTATAAGGACACATGCACACGAATGTTCACTGCGACACTGTTTACGATAGTAAAGACTTGGAACCAACCCAAATGCCCATCTATGATAGACTGGACAGGGAAAATGTGGCACATATACACCATGGAATACTATGCAGCCATAAAAAACGATGAGTTTCTGTCCTTTGTAGGGACATGGATGAACCTGGAAACCATCATTCTCAGCAAACTGACACAAGAACAGAAAATCAAACACAGCATGTTCTCACTCATAGGTAGGTGTTGAACAATGAGAACACATGGACACAGGGAGGGGAGCATTACACACTGGGGTCTGTGGGGGGATATAGGGGAGGGACAGCGGTGGGTGGAGAGTTGGGGAGGGATAACATGGGGAGAAATGCCAGATGGGGAGGAAGGCAGCGAACCACACTGCCATGTATGTACCTATGCAACAATCTTACATGTTCTTCACATGTACCACAAAACCTAAAATGCAATAAAAATAACAAATAAAACTGTACACTTAGGCTACACTAAATTTATTCTTTTAAATTTTCTTTCAGGCCGGGCTCGATGGCTCACACCTGTAATCCCAGCACTTTGGGAGGCCGAGGTGGGTAGATCACGAGGTCAGGATATTGAGACCATCCTGGCTTACATGGTGAAACCCTGTCTCTACTAAAAATACAAAAAATTAGCCAGGCGTGGTGGCACATGTCTGTAATCCCAGCTACTTGGGAGGCTGAGCAGGAAGACTGCTTGAACCTGGGATACCCAGGTTGCAGTGAGCCGATATCGTGCCACTGCACTCCAGCCTGGGGGACAGAGCAAGTCTTCATCTCAGGGGAAAAAAATTTTTTTTCTTTCTTCCATAATAAATTACCTTTAGCTTATTGAAACTTTTTTACTTTATAAATTTTATTATTCTTTTAGATGAAGTCTCCCTCTGTCACCCAGGCTGGAGTACAGTGGCACAATCTCGGCTCACTGCAACCTCCGCCTCCTGGGTTAAAGCTATTCTCCTGCTTCAGCCTCCTGAGTAGCTGGTATTACAGGCGAGTGCCCCCACACTTGGCTAATTTTTGTATTTTTAGTAGAGATGGGGTTTCACCATGTTGGCCAGGCTGGTCTTGTGCGCCTGACTTCGTGATCTGTCCGCCTCAGCTTACCAGAGTTCTGGGATTACAGGGGTGAGCCACCCAGTTTTTGATTTTTTAAAAACTGTTGACTCTTTTGTAATAACACGTGGCTTAAAACACAAACACACTGAACAACTGTACAAAAAATTTTCTTTATATTCTTATTCTATAAGCTTTTTATTTGAAAAACATTTTAAATAAATATTGTTTTTTACTTTTTAAGTTTTTGTTAAAAATGAAGACACAAAGATAGAC